CCTCTGGTCCGAGAGTTCCAGTGACCTGCCTCCTGATGCCGCCTGGGTCAACGTGGCGAACCGGGGTCAGCTGGCTGGTAGTGGGCTCTCCATGAAAGCTCAGGCTGTGAGCCCGTGTGTCCAGAACTTCTGTTCTGCCCTTGATTCTAAACTGAAGGTTAAATTGGAGGACCTCATGGCTTACCTTCCCTCTGGTGACTCGTCACTTTCTAAGGATGTCTCCCCCTCGCAAGCGAGGAGCTGTGCCTTTGACAGGTACGCTGATGCTGGGACCGTGCAGGACATGCTGCAGACCCACTCGGTGGCGTGCATCCAGCACATCACGGACTGCATCCGGGTGGAGCTGCAGAACATTGAAGACGTTGTGCAAGGGCAGCAGGACGTCCTCAGTGGTGTCAAGCTTCACGCAGTCCTGTTCATGGCCAGACTCTGCCAGTCCCTGGGAGAACTGTGTCCCCATCTGAAGGAGTGCATCTTGGGAAAATCGGGGAGCTCCGAGAAACCAGCAAGGGATTCTAGGGCTCTGAAAAAACAGGGAAAGGGGAAAACTCAGGAAATAATTCCTACGCAGGCCAAGTGGCAGGAAGTAAAGGAACTCCTCCTCCAGCAGAGTGTGGTGGGCTACCGGGTCTGGAGCTCAGCAGTTGTGAAGGTGAGGGGCATGGAAACGTTTTCTTTCCCTGCTCACCAGGGAGTGCCGGCTTTGTCTCCCTTTTATCATATTCCAAGCTGGCCAACCTCAATAAAGTCTTCTAATAGTAAGAGAATAACAATTATTATTTCATACAGTTATTCTGACTTATCTCTGCCAGAGAGCTCAAATGTAAAAGCTTTTCCATTCATTTTTAGCCTGGATTTTATAGACAGAAAACCTGATTTTTTTTTTCCTTCCATCTGATGAGAATGAAAGACCTTCTCCCTGGACAAGGGTCTATATTTCCTGCCCGTCAACCTCAATATCATATTCTTTCTAATCTCCACTAGTGTCTTAACAGATAGTCCCTGCCTTTTTTTGGGGGGGGGGGCGGTGAGGAAGATTGGCCCTGAGCTAACATCTGTTGCCAGTCTTCCTCTTTTTGCTTGAGGAAGATTGTTGCTGAGCTAACATCTGTGCCGGTCTTCCTCTATTTTGTACATAGAATGCCGCCACAGCATGGCTTGATGAGTGGTGTGTAGGTCTGCGCCCAGGATCCAAACCTGCAAACTCTGGGCTGCCGAAGTGGAGCACATGAATTTAACCACTACGCCACCGGCTGGCCCCAAGAGATAGCCCCTGAGATATGTAGAGTTAGCAAAAAAATTCCTATTGCTGATAGCAGTAATTAGCCCAAAGAAGAGTGATGCTTACCATGCACCATCCCACACACGCTCTAGGCAGCAGAAGCTGGTCTCAGGACTACTCTAGGAGTTTGAAATAAACTCTACACAAGGGATCTGAGTGGCCTCTCTGGATATTTGCCTTTTATTACCAGGTTTTGGCTCATGGATTTGCCCAGTCATTACTTTTAGATGATGCTGGCTCAGTGCTGGCTACGGCCACCAGCTGGGATGAACTAGAAATTCAGGAGGAAGCAGAGTCTGGCAACAGCATCACATCCAAGATCCGACTCCCTGTCCAGGTAGGCAAGTGCCACCGTTAGCGAGCCCGTGGCTGAAATGGGCACCTGCTCTGTGGGAAGGAAAAAGACTAGAAAATGCCGCAGCATGCAGCTTCTGAGGAAGAGCTGCGGGTAATATGTGTAACTCCTGTGGGGGCAAAGTGGATGTAGGGCCAAGTAAATGACTGACTGTTCGAGAAGTCAGTCAATGATTCTTTCCTGTTGTACCACGGGCTCTGTGCTGATTAGAGAACCACTTACCCCAAAGGGAAAACAGCAACAGCAGTAAGACACAGTGCCACCTGCCAGGTCAGGCCAAGGCCACCGAGGGAAGGACAGCAAATGTCACTTGTCTGTAACTGTGTGCTGTAACAGGGGCTGACTGGAGAGGTCAGGGTCCGGTGTGTTTGCCTGATAAGGATAAATGGACCCACTCTCACCACGTCTCATTCGATGGCGTAAGTTGGCGACTTGACATTCCTTTGTTCTTCCAGCCATCTTGGTACGTGCAGTCCTTCCTGTTTAGCTTATGCCAGGAAATTAATCGGGTTGGAGGCCATGCCTTGCCAAAGGTGACACTGCAGGAGATGCTGAAAAGCTGTATGGTTCAAATAGTAGCTGCCTATGAGAAACTTCCAGAAGAAAAACAGATGAAGGTAGGTGTTTGAATTTTTTTCCATTAAAAACAGAAATAAAAACCTTAACTTTTTCTTGGGTCTGGGCAGTTCACGTCAAGGATTCAGGTGTTAAGGCTCACTCCGCCTGGCTGGCTAGTTAGTAGTGGCTTCCAGCTCTTCGCAAGGGTCAAGCGGGTCTTCATGAGAATGCAGTCCCGTCCAGGTGGAAAGGCTGAACGCTGCGGTTAGAGGCCTGGTTTCCAACTCCAGCACGGCCACACCCTCAGGGCAGGGCTGGCAGACCGCTGACCTGTGTCCTCAGGACCCCATGTGCTCACGTAGATAAACTGCTCAGGGGGCTGTGCGGAAGCTGGGGCGGTGGCAGAGCCCAGCGCGTGGACACGAGGGACTGTTACGGGAGGTCTGGCCCCCAGCCCTCCACTCCTCTCCCCTGCTGTGAGGCATTCTGCCCTTGGTGTATATTCCATTTCATCAATAACTTTTTTTTTTTATTTTAATTTTTTGGTGAGGAAGATTGTCACTGAACTAACATCTGTGCCAGTCTTCCTCTATTTCATATGTGGGATGCCGCCACAGCATGGCTTGATGAGTGGTGTGTACTCATTATTCATCCGCACCCGGGATGCAAACCTGCGAACCTGCGAACCCTGGGCCACCAAAGTAGAGCCCGCAAACTTAACCACTACACCACCGGGCTGGCCCCCAGTAATATTTTTAAGACAGGCCCGACTCCTGATTTTGGAAAGAATTCAGGTAGGTCATCTCTCCTGAGCTACCTCAAAATGCCTCTTCTTCATGCCAGAAGTTTTTTTCTTTAAAATAACCATCTATTTGGGCTGGCCCCATGGCCTAGTGGTCAAGTTTGGCACGTGCCGCTTTAGCGGCCTTGGTTTGGGTCCTGGGCGTGGACCTACACCACTCAGGGGCAGCCATGCTATGGTGGTGACCCACATACAAAATAGAGGAAGATTGGCACAGATGTTAGCTCAGGGCGAGACCCACCCCCAAAAAACAAAAACCATCTACAGTACCTGAGGCCTTTCTTTTTTAAGGGCAGGGTCTCTTCCCACCTGTTAGGTTTTTAGTTTTGTTTAAGACCCAGTTTGTAACATAACTTATTTTTGTTGTTGTTGTGAGAGTCAGCTGGCCATGAGAGTATGAAAACCTTCTGCTTCTGAAATAACAAGGTGTAACTCAACTAAAACACGAAGCCGTTTGTTATGCTGACATAACGAGCCGTCACCCCTAATGGGCGGGGACGGGAAATTCATTTGCAGAAGGAAGGTGCGTTTCCAATGACCCAGAATCGGGCACTGCAGCTGCTTTATGATCTGCGTTATCTCAACATCGTTCTGACCGCCAAGGGCGAAGAGGTGAAGAGCGGCCGCAGCAAGCAGGACTCCAGGTAGCTGCCCTGCGCCGGCTCTTCCGCTGGCCTCTTCCAAGTGCACACAGCCCTTCTGGGAAGCCAGCTAGGAGTTGGCTTCTCACTGCACATCAGTGGTGTTTGTTTTCAGCAGTAAGTGCCTGTATTACCAGCAAGATAAATAACGGCCACCTGCTGGATAAATGCCATGGTCAAGTGTGGTAGGTGGAATCTCATTCCTCCCTCTTCTCACTCAGCCTGCCAACTGTTGGGTTTACTTTGAGCCTTTAGTACCCTCCCTGGAAACAGCAGGAGGGAATGGACTTAGACATCACACCAGGTCACAACTCCTGATAATCACGATAATCAGTGACATGTGGTCGGCATGAAGAAGAAATCCAGTTTCTAGGATTTCTATGGCATTAAAATACCATAACATTGGTTTTTGTCCTAAAAATGTGGAGAATCATCATCCTCATCCTTTTTTCAGATTTGAGAAAGTGGCTGACTACCTGGAAGGCCTCATTGACCCGTTTGACCTGGATGTTTTCACACCACATCTCAATAGCAACCTTAATCGCCTGGTGCAACGAACTTCTGTAAGTCAGTTGGAAGCCATGCTCACTGTGAATGAAGTGCCACAGGCTCAAATGAAAAAATAAACCCACTCCAGCACTCACTCCTCCAGGAGGCAATGTTGGGAGGGGGCAGGACGCAAATAGCCGAGTTTAGTTTAAGGGGTGGAAGAGGATTAGAGGAGGTCACCACCACCTGCCCCTTTCGTTGCAGATAAGGAGCGTTAGGGTTTTATCAAGGCCTCAGAAAGAGGAGTGAAAACAAGAGCTATTTGACTCTGAGCTTCTGACCCGTGGGCAGTGGTTAACAGCAGTTTTGAAGCATTAACGCACTCAAAAGAACATTCCCCAAAAGGATGGTTAGCAACAGTGCGACTGAGTCCCAACAGAGAAGTGATTTTCTAACTGGACGATAAAAACCCAGCATGTCACGTGCTCCCTTTCTGCCTGACAGGTTCTGTTTGGACTGGTTACTGGCCCAGAGAATCAGTTCACCCCTAGGAGCAGTACATTCAACTCCCAAGAACCCCATAACATCCTGCCACTGGCATCGAGTCAGATCAGGTAACGATGCCAGGACGCGTCTGCTGGGCCCCAAATCTTCCTGTGCGTACAACCGAAATTCCTTCATCTTGGTTTGTAGGTTCGGACTTCTTCCACTGAGCATGACAAGCACCCGAAAGACCAAATCAACCAGCAGAAGCATCGAAACCAAAGCCCAGGTTAGTGCAGAGAGCAAGAGGTTCGTCCCCGTTGATCTCGTCCCCATCTCCCACCAAACCGCCCGGTCAGCAGCCCTTTGAATAAGTGATGAAGAACCGAATGACACAGTGCACTAATGCTTTTAATGGCGGCGCAGTATAGAAGTACAAGGTTTTACTAGCTTGAGCTAATAGAAGTTTTAAAAGATGCCCATTTACACTATCAAGTAGCCGCATAATAGAAATGTATCTCAGGCTGCCAAGGCTGTAGAAAATATGCAGGACAGGATGGAGTTATTTCTGGTTTTTAATAGGGTAAAAGAGCTAACTGCCAACCCAGCACTATGATTGTACTTACTTGGGAAAAAACTTGTGTTTTGGTAATGGTTTCATCTTCCATTTCTTTTAGCTGGGTGGGAAGTAAAAGGAAATTTGCTTTCTCAAGTTTTACATTTTCTTGTTAATACACGTTTTGTTTCAGTAGGCTGCCATCCATAAGCCTGCAGGAGTCCTCCTGGGTATTTCTGAATTGTGTTGTGTACAGTGTTTGAGAGCTCAAACAGCTTGTCTTCCTACAGCATTTAGTTGTCGTTTGCTTTATTGTTAGACAAAATATTAGCAACGCATCCTTTCCATATTCCCTGCCATCAAACCCATTAAGATCCAAAATCCTCGGCAAACATCTGGTTTTAAAACTTGAGAGATGGTAGTGAAAACCAGTGGTTCGGGCACAAACCATCCACTCTGTAAGCATGGGCCTGTGCTGTAACTTCGCCCCCCACTCTAAATTTCTACTTCAAGTAACTGACCTTTAAATTCTATCCATCTTGGTGGAACAAACCATGGAAAAGAGGTACACATTTACCCTTTTCCTATGATAGTCCTCATCTTCAAATTTTACTTCTGTCACATAATAAAATCTCATTCTGTCCCCTATGTCCTTTTCAAATCTCGACAAGGAGCAAAGTCGCCTTTCTAGAGCTAGCCATGCTTCTCGGATCTGCTTGTGTGTGCTGTGTGGACTCGAGTGGGGTGGGGTGGGCTGGGGTGGGGGGTGTGAGCAGGCAGGAGGGTTCGGGTGGACTCTAAGGCACTTTCCTCTACATGCAATGGCAGGCGGTCCCCCCGGCACTCTCCCGAGCAGATGACCCGATGCAGCCTGGCTCCTTGTTCAGACAGCTTGTCAGTGAGGAAGAAGACTCGTCTACACCTTCATTATTCAAACTTGGCTGGCTCTCTAGTATGACTAAATAACATGGGAACATATCTATCTCTTTCTGAATAAATACTACTGCATTATTTCTTCTAAAGGTGCCTCTGCTCATTTGTTTCTAAGCCACACCAGTCCTTCCAGTTTCAATGGTGGAATGTGGCCCCTGCTGTTAGGGGTTATGTTAAGCATAAAGTGAATCTTTAGCCAATAGTTTCGCAACACCTGTGACTTCAGACATCAGTTCAGCCGGCCATACTTTGTCAGCATCAATCAACGCCTTAATTCTCAACAGACAAGGCAGAATTATCAGTGAGATCACATACGCTGCTGCTATGACAAGTTTGTAAGACAAACAGTCGTCACGCATTTTGTGACTCTCAGAACGGTGCGATGTTTTCCACTAACTGACACGGAGGCTCTGGAGGGATCAGGGTAACAGAAGTGATCTGTGTGTGTGAGAGTCTGAAAGACATTCTCTCCGGAAATACAAATATATAACAGAGAAGACAGCTATCAGGGAGGGCGCCTGACGTACGCGCTCTCAGCTGGGGTCTGACGGTCCTGTTACCAAGGAGAGCACTTTCAACAGGACAGCTACACACTAAGAGGTAGAATGGCAATTAATTTCAGTGCAAGACTGAATCAAGCTTTCTATATTTTGGAAAAAAACTTATGTTTTTTCATGGAAACTAGATACTCTTTTCTAGTTTATTGAATTTAAAAAATTGAAGATCCCGCATTTTTAAAAGGCCTTTTTACATAAAGTAGAATTTCTAATTGACAGATTTGGATATCCATCTGAACTGGACAGACTATGGAATCGACACGCAGATGAGATTTCCTCATACCACTACCTTGACATGGATTTGATACCCACCCTTAAAAGAATCCTATAAAAAATTGCTTCAAAGCCCCTTTGAAATTGCAATAGTGCAGCAAAACCACAAGTAAACAACTGCCTGTTAGCCTGTTATTTCAAATATAGACTGAAAAGCCAACAGGCATTTTTTTGTGCAATTTTTTAAAACATCGTAAGTTGAACTATCAAATCTGCACAGCTGTCCCTTCACAGAAGGCAAGAAGCTGGCGGCACATCATGTCGGAGGCCGTCCTCGGTGCTGCAGGCTGTGAAAGTGGGCCTCCTTCAGGGTCTGGTTGATGTGGAAGTACGGGCCTTGGCACAGTGCGGACTGCTCGGGCACGGGCTGAGGGGTGTTAGGGCTGGACACGGTGCCCACGTGGTTTAAGCTGCTTTCTGGCCCACTGGCCCTGTCCGGGCTGTTGATGCTGCTGCTGCTGCTGCTGCTGCTCCCGCCACTGTCACTGCTTGAAGACTGGAAGGAAGAAGAAACAGGGTCACAATGAGGCTATTTTGTTTTTTAAGAGCTTTACTATAGTTAAATTTACAATACCCTGTTTAAGAATATTTTTCCTATTCAGTTTGAGGAGTACTAGCCTCAAAAAGTATCCTGGGCTTTACAGTTTACAAAGTACGTCCACCTAAGATACTTCATTCTAACTCTTCATAACTATGCTGTGAGGTCAAGTGGCATTACGACCCCCTTACACATCCCTAGGAAGTGGCAGGGTCCAGATTCAAGCACAGGCCTTCCGAGGGTAAATCCCTCCCACTACACCTTCATTCCTTCACGCATCCTCTAGCCGCTTTCATCATTCATTCCAATAATTTCCAGTAATCAGAGGAAGAAGTTCTCAGCCTCCAAGGGAAAGGATCAACCATCGGTCCAGGGTATAAAAAAGGGGTCCTCATAACAAGATGGCTTCTGGGCACAGGTTAAAAAATAAAAACTTGTGACAATTTTGTGGCCATCATCTCATGGAAATGAAGTTATATTCTCTGAATTCAGAACACATATCCTGAAAGATTTTAATACACTTCTTATAGAGCTATACTATTTTTTATATTATTTTTGTGATTCAATATGTGCATGTGTGCACAAGCATGCCTGATTCTTTTAATGTAATTAACATGACTTGGTGTTTTAGTCATCTTGAAAAAGCTATGCAGAGAGCCCTAGTAAGAGTCACTCTCAGAAATCTTCCTTCTCATGCTAGGTTCTCAAAAGGGAAGGCAATGGTAAGGAACCATTTCAGAATTAAGGCATTTTACTACTTTAACATTGTATTTCTAATGAAGACAACCCCAACAACTTAATGAGCCATACCCTTCTCTATTTACACCTCAACACAATATTGTGCTAAAAGGAATCAATGTATGAAAAAGTGAGAATTCTAGTAATTAATGATCTGGTGTATAATTTTTTTTAACTTAGCCGTCTGATACATCTAAATTTATATTCCCTTAGAGAAAGACATTGGTTTTGAAATGTCTGCTTACAACCATGTAAAATCTACATATAAGAAAAAAGACAGGAAAGCAACAGACCGTAGTAGTTATGTTAGAATAGAGGGATTATAGTTGCTTATTTTTTCTACACTCCACTCTGTTTTGCAATGTGATGGTTATGTATTTTCATTATAAAAATAAATACATAAAATAAAATGTTTCCCGATAGATACTTTAAAAGTAATTTTTATAATGCTAGTTCTACCCATTTTTTGATCAAAAGTTATACCTGAAAATATGTGCATAAAGCAATGTTCATGAAGGGCATCCATAATTAAGACTAAACCAAGACTCATCCTGGGCCGTGGCTCATTTGGAGCCACTTAACACAGGTCACATGTCCCACTGCCCACAGGCAGTAGGAGACAACCTATCTTTCTACAGTAAAAAAAAAAAGTTCCTGAAAGCATTATAACGGGCTCACTGGAGTCAGATGGCAGGGTTAGCAGCAGCAGCCATTACATTTACTCAAAGACTTAAGAAGTCAAAGCCAATTCAAACACAAAAATCGTTTTCCATCAAAGCCTCTCCCAACCTGCAGAGAACACCCTACATCTGCCGCTGGCACCGGGAGGCGGTGAGTATTTACGAGCAGGCTACTCCGCTAGGTAAGGACCCACCGCACACAGCACTGTGTTTCCTCTTAGTCTGCTGTCTTTACTGTTTTTCGTTACAGGTACTATCTGAAAATGAAGGCAAGAACTAGAATCAGTGCCTAGTAAGTCAAGTTTCCATCTCAAATTATATTTATTTCACACTATAGTAGTAAGGGTGACACTATTCTGAGAAAAGGTAAAAGTTCTTTTAAAATAAACAGGTTAGAAAAGACTTCTCTACAATACCTGTTTTTAAAAAAAAGGGAGGATGACGCGTATACCTGCAATGTCTAGCGCATTTTAACCACCTTGTAACTCGACTTCATAAAGACACATATAAAAATGTTTAGTGTGGGGCCGGCCCAGTGGCACAGCGGTTAAGTGTGCACTTTCCACTTCAGCCACCCAGGGTTCGCTGGTTCGGATTCCGGGTGCGGACATGGCACTGCTTGGCAAGCCATGTTGTGGCAGGCGTCCCACGTATAAAGTAGAGGAAGATGGGCATGGATGTGAGCTCAGGGCCAGTCTTCCTCAGCAAAAAGAGGAGGATTGGCAGCAGATGTTAGCTCAGGGCTAATCTTCCTCAAAAAAAAAAAAAAAAAGTTTAGTGTGGCCTTGTTTATAACAGCTAAAAACTGGAAACAACCTAAATGTCTAACAGTAGAGAAACTGGTTAAATTATAATACATGTGTATAAAGTATTATACATGGAGTATAATTCATAACAATGAAATTCTATTCAGCTGTTAACAATGATGACAAGAGATGTATATATACCAATATTGAAAGATGTCTTTAACATCTTTTTTGCAAGTTACAAAACACTATGTATAGTATGTCAGCTGGTTTTTAAAATGTTTTTCTTTGATGTATACACATATGTACACCAAAAATAGTCTGGAAGGACATATATGCCAAATTATTTATAATTTGGACCTTCTAGTATTTTTAATATCTTTATTTTCTATAGTTTCTACAGAAACAAATTTCATTTGAGGAAAAAATAACTTGATCATGAGTAAGAGAACTAAAAAATGTTACTATAAAATAGAGTAAGATCTTTAGTTACTTCTAACTTCAAGACTGAGACTTAAAAGTATATATAGTGGGGCCGGCCCCGTGGCTGAGTGGTTAAGTTCGTGCGCTCCCCTGCAGGCGGCCCGGTGTTTCGTTGGTTCGAATCCTGGGCGCGGACATGGCATTGCTCATCAAACCAGGCTGAGGCAGCATCCCACATGCCACAACTAGAAGGACCCACAACGAAGAATATACAACTATGTACCGGTGGGCTTTGGGGAGAAAAAGGAAAAAAATAAAATCTTTAAAAAAAAAAAGTATATACAGTGATAGAAGATTTCACTTATATAAGATTTCAGAAAGACCGTTTTGCCTCCCTTAACTACTTAAGAAGCACTCAAACTGCTTCAGTTCTGCTCACTTGCATTGAGCAGCCCAATGACACTTTTAAATCAATAGAAGAGAGTCTGCGTGGAACCCAGGAAGCTGGTGAATGCACTTGATGTGTTATTTTAATACAGATAAAACGTTCCATATATATTCCTCAAAGGTGAGAACAATACATCTCTTTCAGAGATGCTTTGGTTCCTATTTCCTGCCGACAGACCAGTCTTCTCACTAAGGAGGAGGCTTTAGGGAACCTCTCACAATCTCTGCATGGACCAGTGTTTTTCAAACTGAGGGTGAACCCACTGGTGGGTAGCAACCAGCATAATAAAAGCAAACAGAGTGCAACCTGGTAAGGGTAATTGTTCTGTGAAACCTTTTTTCAATTATGCACAGATATATTTGGTATGCACTGGGTCACAAAATAAAACATTTCCATGGGAAAGGGCCAAAAAAGTTTGCAAGTTCCTATGTCAGTTTTAACACTGTTAGCCATCAAAGTGGTCTGCTTTATGGAATAAAGGAAAGACCATTATTTCCTTTTAACCCTAAACGCATAAAATCGAATTTTAAGTCTCTGTCGGTGCCTTAAGTTACACACAGAAGTAAATCATTTTGTCTTATAAAACCAAAGAACTTAAGATAGGAAAAAAATCGTATTTCCCCTACTTAGTAGAGCTTTTTAGTAGATTGCTTGGTGGGCAGGGACCACTACTTGACAGCGCATGGTTTGAAAATTACAGCTGCTGAACTAGTACAGAAGTGTTTACCTTGTTCCACCTGTTCTTAAAAAGACGGCAAATTATTTTACAGAACGAGAAACGAGCGTCCACAGACTCTGGGACTGAGAAGACTCATCAAATAGGAATCTTATCTCCTCGGCCCTGACTCCATACAGAGACCGTGCACCAGAAAATTCATCCAAATCGACAGTCACAAAGTTCATTTTATTTTCTCTGAATTTCCATTTAGGCTCAGTGCTAACATCTCACCAGGGTATTTTCATGACACATTTATATTACAGATCAAAAGAGAAAAAGGCCATGATCTGTGAACTAAAAGCCCCTTGCAAATCCATGTATCCAAGCACAATAAAGTTAAATTTAGGAAGATTCTGACCCAGAGTATTTCCCTAAATATACAAAGGCAACTCCTAGGAATCCTGTGGTGCAGATGTGTGTGAAAAGGGAGAGTTCCAGGTTAGCTTAGGCAATAATAAAAGCTAGCAGTACAACCCTTTAGCTGCAGGCGCCCCGGTAGGACTCAGAAGAGAATTGTCACGATACAGTCTATTTTGGAATCACCTGGAGGCTTTTAAGGAAGTGTTCATGCCAGGGCTCCACCTCTGGAAAACCTGGCTTAAGTAGGCACAGATTGTTCTGACGTCCAACCACTCTCCAAATGTTGCTGCGCCTGCTGTGTACAAGGTGGTATCACCAGGGCTACCGATCATTCAATGAGAATTTACCGAGTTTAATCAAGAAGAACATGGTGGCAATACAGCCATTGATGCAGTCGTACACAGCTACTGCAGTGAGGAATCCTGCGCTGGGTGCTGATGGAGAGAACTAGGAGAGGCTCCTTAAAATGAAAGGTGTCTCAACTGGGCCTCGAAGGATGAGGAAGAGTTTTCACAAGCAGGGGGTGACAACTGGGAGAATAACACCACCAAAATCAGAAGAAAGGAGCGTTTAGGGGAGGAAAAGCTAATAGTGTGGTGTGGCTGGGCCCACTCCCGGAAGAGCTGGTGAGACAAAATATACACGAGAAGTTCTGGCTGGATTATCAAGTGCCCCAAGTCTGCAGGAACAGGCTGTGAGCATGTAAGACGTGCTCGGATCCGGACTTAGGAGGGAGGATTCCAGGGATCTGTGGGAGACGCAGCAGGGAGGCGAGCCTGAGCAGAGGCCCAGCTAGCAAGTTTTCTAATACATCAAGCAGGAGAGCCGGCCCGCGGGAGGATCGTGGCAGTGTAAATGAAGGGGTGTGTGTGTCCCACCCCAGAGGGAGATGGGAGAGTTCAGGAAGGAAACGAAGGAGACATCCAAGTTGACTCTGGGCACCTAGGACAATGCTTGGCAAACACAAGGTGCTCAGGAGACGTCTGCTGAATGGAAAGAGCAGTTATGCGCCTTGAGAAGTTTACTGAGTCGAGGAGGAGGCCAGGATCCGGAGAGGAGGGAAGGCAGGTGGGCAAGCACCAGCAGTGAAGACGGCTAGGGGTGAAGGGGAAAAGGAGGCAGAGAGAAGATGAGCTAGGAAGGGACAAGAGCATGTTGGTCGGGAAAGAAGCAGTGGGTAAGAAGAATCGGAAGAGATTAAGAGAAGGGAGAAATACTAGAAAGAGCTTCCAGGAGACTTGACAGAAGGTACAGCAGATAAAGAAAGGCAGACAGACACTTCTTTCTCTTTGGCAGAAAGGAACGATCTCTATAAATCGTGAAGCAGAGGATAGGGAAGTTGAAGTTCATTTTCTTAGTCTGCAGGGCTCAAATTATACACGCAAGGTAGAGAACACCCCGGCCCTCAGCTAGGCCTACCCTTAACTTTATTCTCCCAGAGAGGAGAGTCAGTTGAAGAGAGAACCCATTATACCCATGGTAGAAAGGAAATGACTCCAAAGACTATTTCTGCTAATCACCTTTAGAAAGCCCCCCAGGCAGGAATATTAATTACTGAGTCTCTCTGCTTCATAAAATTAGAACCAGAATAAATGTGTGTATTTATTACCTAGAGCTAAATGCTTTCTCTTCTTCATTAGAAAAGCAGATCAACAGCGTGTTTTATTTTCTTTCACGCCCCAGCTTCCCCTCACCTCCGTCTCCTCAGTCACTGGTGCTTTTAATTTAGGTTAGCCTCACAAGAGAAAGGAGCTCTCACTCGCTGTGCGCACTCCAGCCCTGGAGTCATAGCGTACATCACCCTAAGGCCGCTGCAGCGTCCGGATTCCATGCAAGAGGCCACCCTCGCCAAGTCCATCCGAGCATCTAATGTAAGAGTCTGCTTGCACAGTGCCAACAATTTCAGAGGGCTTCAGGTCTGCTAATACCACTGAGGCCATAAGACTCCACATGAATTCCGGGGGTTAATTTAAACCACTTTCTAAATATGCAAGGAAAGAAAATGCAGGGGGTCACTTTTCTGTCAATCTTTATACGATGAAGTTGGACCACATAGTGTGTTTTAAGTTTCTTCCTAACTAAAATATTCTATTATCTATCACTTCATTTCATTGAAATTTCAACAGGCCAAAAAATAATCCTCACCTGGAGAAAAACATGTTTGAATCCTCATTACTTAACAAACAACATTCAGTTTCAGTGTGAAACTGCTTGGGGCAGCGCGGTGGGCTGCGAGTTGACGTGACGTCTTACAGACTGTTCAAGGACTTCGAGTGTGGGCAAAGTTTCTTCAGACATACATTACAAGGTAGACTAACTTTTGAAAAAGCTGTTCCTCTATTTTGAATGGACCTTTTTAGAAGTCACTTTCAGAGTTAATTTGCTACAGGGTTTTAAACACACAACCCTAACAGTTTTACCCCAGAGTCCGCCAAAACAGCTCCAGCTCTTAGGATGTACCTACCACCCTACAACAGACTAAAGATGAGATGGGCAAAAACTAAGAGCCTTAAGATACCTTTAAAAAAAATTACACTAAATAGTCTCCCATTGTCATCCAAATTCACACTATTAAAAAAAAATCATGGGGCCGGCCCTGTGGCCAAGGTTAAGTTCACGTGCTCCACTTTGGCGGCCCAGGGTTTTGCCAGTTTGGATCCCAGGCGTGGACATGGCACCACTCATCAGGCCATGCTGAGGTGGCATCCCACGCAGCACAACCAAAAGGACCTACAACTGGAATATACAACTATGTACCAGGGAGCTTTGGGGAGAAGAAGAAGAAAAAAATCACCTAAAATTCAGCCAATTCTTATCAGTTAAAACAAGTGGATTTATAGAATCTTAATTTTAATGATACATAGATTCCCTTGGTTCTGTTATTTTTTTTGTCACACCTCTATACTCCCACTAAGAATACCCTTGGGATTTGGGGATTATGACATCAAAAATTTTCCCCTTCTAGAAGAGACAAGCAAAAGGCAGAGGCTGTTCCGGGTAAGCCACTTCTGTTTCATCTCCCCAATTTCTCACTCTCTACTTGTTTTTACTTCATAGTGATGTGAAAAATCCAAATGGTCTCAGTAAGTTAAAGGTATAAAAACACTGAAGTCTTCATATTTTAAAAAGGTACTGCTTTTATTTATCCAAGTAGCAGCACTTTTTATAAGGCATATACCTACCTACTAGAAGCCAGATTTACCTGGAAACATCTAGTGTAATTTGTAGATAAAGATATTAAAGCTGAAAGCAAAGAGCCTTATGCCCTACTACAAGATACAATTCAAACCAAAAAGGCCAGCCCCTAAGAGAACAAATTTAAATATGTTCAATCTAGCTAGTTTTTATCCATGCAAATAACTGTCCAAAATCAGGGAATGTCACTACCTTTGTACAGGACCCAAAAGGAACACAAATTGATAAATCATTTCATGTCTTGCTCACCAGGGAGAAAACGAACCTGACTCAGACATTAACTAACATGATTCATCTAGAATCATGTTTTTCATTCCTATACCTATAAATTACATCTCAAGTTAAAAAATAGTACCCTAAGGTTCACAAGTCATCAAATTTAAGTCCCTGGAATTCAAATTCAAGATCTCCAATGCAAAGACCAATTAGAGTTTTGAAAAAAATCACCAGATCCCAATTTCTTCTAGCTGGAAATCTAAAAGTGCTTTCTAGCTAATACCATATCATAGCATTTACTTGGGAAAATATTTTCCAGCTTAAAGATAGGGGGAGGAAACTTACTCTTCTCTGTCCCTATGATTCAGGGGAAGTCTAGGACTAGCCGGCCCTGGATATATTTAGCCCAGCCGCTCAGCACTTGCATCCTGTCTCCTGTGAGACAGCACCTGCTGTGGGCAGCAGCAAGCAACGGAGTCGAGCTCCGGGGCTCCCCACCCCGCCTCTTACTAGCTGTGTATCTTTGGCAAGTGACTTTATTTTCCTGTGCCCCAGGTTTGCCACCTGAAAAGCAGAAATAACAGTATCCACTAAAATGACAAGAAGAAAATGCCAAGTAGATTATAAGTTTGTCTTTACAGAACTAATCTGGCAAGTCAGTTCACATTCTCCAGCTTCATAGTATCTATGAAAAAAGAGGCATATACTATCTCCATTTTACAGGTAATTATGAATTACTTATGGCATCATTTAATAGTTTAACATAATTCAAACATCTCACATCTTATTTCCCACTACTTGTCAATATTACTACATTTAGGAGAAAAAGTAACTTTAGGAAATTAATTATAAATAACAATTTTAAATCTCTCTTAGAATTAAAACAAATTCCTTCCAAAAGAAAGTTCTTCAAGTTATAAGAAACAGAATTCAGAAATTATTTAAGTATTTCAGAAAAGACACAAGAAATAGTTAGTCTTAAAGAAACTTACCTCATTGGCCCTACCTTAAAATTAAAAGGTAACATTTTCATTAATAATATATTTTATTATATAAATTAATAAAATTAATAATCCCCTAGTAATGAATTGTTTTATTATTTTCCCTTTTATACACAATTGTCAAAAAGCAGCCAAATGCTCCTAAACTTGATATTTTGGGGCTATAAACAATGATGCTCTATTCCAGGGGTGACCATCTAATTATTCAGGGCTTGGCTCGCCATGTTGAAGGCCTCCGCTGCCTTTCGCTTCTCTGGCTCTGCCTGGCTCACCCGGCCTCCCTCCTTGTTAATGCCACGGCCGGGGAAGCACAACACAGCAGGCCCCTCATTCAGAGCCAGTAAGTGTTCAGTCTGCAAGGCTGAGAGGGACCGTCCTAACCTGCCACGAGGGGTCTGCCAGTGAGTACGCATCCCCAGGACAGATAAAAATTACCTGGACCGACTGTTAATTAACAAGGGCAGTCTAGTCCGGCCTTCAGACTAACGACTACACAGTGGTTTAACCGCTGAATTTCTCTGGACAGGTAAGAACAAAACATATGAACCAAGAGGCTGAATGACTACACACTGTGTTCTTCTGTGATACCAGTGCACAGGAGCAACGGTTATTTCCTACAAACAGCAATTAAAACAAAACAAACTAATACTAAGGAGTCTTACTTAACATAAGAGATCAGAAATATTTACTTTTTTAAAAATGACATTTATATTCCTGTTCTCAGGCACAAAAACTGTAGATATAGGGAAAAAAGATCACTACAAAGAATTAGACTATACCTTTGAACTAATGTGAACATCATACGGCGGGATTTACACAGACACAGGTAAAGAAATATTCATGCCGACACCGTGCAAGTAACCACTGCACACTCTTGTACTGCATAGGCTCACAACTCAAAAGAACCAGGGAAACTCAAGTGCTGTTACAGTTTTATCATCAGATGTTCATGGGCGCCTCTAATCTTTGGTTTTCTTTCATCTGTGAGATTCTCCAACTATCACATTAAACAAAAGCTCAATTCTGTTAATCTTAAGAAAAAAGGAAAAGAAAAAAAGTGATACAAAGATTTTTAAAAGGGGGATAAAAGCTACAGAAACTCCACATAGAAGCATCTCCTCTGCACTGTTTGTTAATTGTTCCTGACTGAGTATTACCTACGGGAGAGTTACTGACTTTCCCCCTTGGGAGAGTTACTTTGCATTTCTGGTAAAGACTGGATATAGGTCAGATCCCATTATCAAGAACTAATTAAAGTACAAATGATTTTGGCTGTGCGGGAACTGGGGTATACAGACTTCTGTAAGTCCTGAGGCCAGGGCTTAGGAGCCTTCGCTGCTGAGGTGACAGCTGTGGAGGGTGAGGTGTGTGGGGCATAATTTAATAGCAGCATCACTTCGATGTCAGCTTCCTTTCCCCACTGCAGACCAGCCTTTCGACTGCACAGAACATTTCTCCCCAGGATGCCTCCTGAAGCCCTCTCTCAGAGAACCAAAACTTCGGAGGCTCTTTCCCCCGCCCGTCTCTCCACCCTCCTCTCTGCCTCCCAAAGGAGCTCTTTTTAGAACAACATAATGAAAAAAGTAAAAACACTTAAAAATAGGATTTTGGATACACATACATTATTCTGAATGTTTATACAGTTTCTCTTAAAGACATGAATGGAAGCAACAAAATATACTTGTCTTAGAACAATTAATGGTTTACAAACTATTAGAAAAGTCGGTTTCTGAAATATCAAATAGGGGGGTTCAAAGATGGGCTTTCAAAGGTCCATGAAACTTCCAATAACTACAATTGTGGAGTGTGTGTACGTATGAATATGTGCAGACATATACCATGTTGCCGGGGAGAGGGCACACAGCTCCCTAAGGGCGCCACGACTCAGAAAAAGGTTGAAACCACTGCAATCAAGTAAGATCACTCTTATTTATTTAAAGAATAATCTTAATTACATGGAAAAAACTGGGTTACTTAGCTCACGCAATGAAAGCAGCACAGACTCTGACCGCACTTCCTACCTCTGTGTCCCAGGAATCATGAAAGACGGGGTTTCTACTACTCCTTTTGGTCTGGGGGGGAATATGGTGGTCTTCTTCATTGCCATTCCTTCTCCTCTTCCTGAAATTAAACCACAAGGAGGAAAAAAGAAATTCAACAATTGACCTTTTGGACAGTTAAAATTGTAAGCCAGGACAACATATAAATCTGCCTGTTCATGTGAGAAAATATCATTTGTCATGTGATACCCCAATAGGTAAAAAGTTGGAAGGACACTATCATTGGGCAGGAAGAGCAAAAATATAAAATAGCAGCAATAAGGTCAAGCTCAAATTACGACGACTAATTTCTAAAAAGAAGCTTGACAATTTTAAATGCCTACTGGGATAAATAAGAGCAGGGAGACGTTAACGACTAAGCTTTCAAACTCCACTAATTAAGGTTATTGTCTTTCTATATTTTCTGAAATTACAATTGCAAGTTACCTCATTTTACTCCCTTCCATATGACAACATCTAAGACAGGAGTGGCTGCCTTTGCCTGTTTACTCTTAAAATCGATATAAACATGGGTGCTACACACGAATCTCATGAGAGGTTCATGGTAGCCTCTAATCTTTAGTTTTCTTTCTTCACTGATTTTCCCCCAATTATCACATTCAACAAAAGCTCTATGCCATGGGGCCTGTGCAGTGGCGCAGCAGTTAAATGCGCATGTTCTGCTTCAGTGGCCGGGGGTTCGTCGGTTCGGATCCTGGGTGTGGACATGGCACTGCTTGGCAAGCCATGCTGTGGCAGGCGTCCCACAAATAAAGTAGAGGAGGATGGGCATGGATGTTAGCTCAGGGCCAGTCTTCCTCAGCAAAAAGAGGAGGATTGGCAGCAGATGTTAGCTCAGGGCTAATCTTCCTCAAAAACAAAAAAAGCTCTATGCCTTCTAAAAGTATTAAATTACTTTTCTGGACAATCACTGGAAAGGCTGCTCTTGGACACATTAACGTGATTATTCTGGCTTCACTACCTAGTATTATGATATAAATTACTTCACCAGATTGTTACTTTGAGATTGTAGCATGAGCTGCTTAAAATTTCCAGGTTTAAGAAAAATCACACATCTTTCTGTTAAGTGTTCTCAGATGTGCAGTAGAGACAAAATTTGTACGTGTTCTATGCAAGAATCAAGTGCTGTCAGAAGGACTTCTAAACCCCAGTTAGAAAACAGAAATAAATTAAAGGAGGTATAATTTTAAGTCAACTTGCCTGGAACTGTTCTGTCCAATATGGCAACCACCAGCACATGGTGGTTATTTAAATTTAAATTAATTAAAATTAAATAAAATAAAAAATCCATCCTTAGTCACACTCGCCACCCTTTCAGTGCTCCATGGCCACGAGGAGCTAATGGCAACTGTGCGGGACAGCACAGACAAGACGTTCCCATGGCTGCAGAAAACTCCACTGCAAAGTGCCGCCACTTTACACAAAGCAGCATAATCTACTATAATGAAAACTCTTAAATGTTCAAATTTCTACAGCTAGAGGGAAAAACAGCTTTTTGGAAAGTACTGAATTTGAGCACAAAGTATCTTCCATATAGTTTTATACTTTCTATATGAGTAGGGTGGCTTACTGTGGCAGGCCCTTAATCGGAAGGTTTTGAGTTGAAGTCTGGATACTGACGAAAATTTAAGTTATCACCCTGAGCTCAATTCCCTGTAGTCTGCAACATTATGAACACACCTAACTTTATTAATGAGTATGGATCCAGTTTAGGCTTGGAACGATAAACAGTGGGTGTGTGGTCCTGATAAAGCATTAACCAACCTGTAGAGGGCTACACCATTTATCTCATTCTAAGGCTCACCCGTTTGTAAAAGATCATCATCATTTCTGTCCCTTACCTTTCTCCCAGGAGATTAGATCTTATCTACACATTATTTTGAAGTACTTAGAGGTTAAAAACTAGATGAATACCATTCAATGGTTGTGCTATTATCATAGATTTGAACCAAGAAATTGCTACTTTCATCCTAACATGACCAGAGAATGTTTGTGGGAACGTGATGCAATTACAGAGCAATGTCTGATGGAAGGCTAGTTGACACTCGAAGAGAAGCTCATCGAGCGGCAGTATGCTGGTCCCCAAACTCTTCTTTTATCAGTGTGCCGACAGCTGATTGTGCTCTGAGCTGCTGAGTCACTCTCACCAAACTTATGAGCCTGACCAAAACTTTCCAATTTCCTCATCTATGATGGGGGATTTATCTTTCCAGCGACAACAATATGAATGTCAAGGAGGCTGCAAGGCAAAAAGAGCGTAAGAACAAAGAGGATGGGCTGGTTTTGCAGATTTCAACTAAACTGTGGGCAAGTCACATGAAATGTCCCTGCCTCACAATCAGGTGATTTCTCGAAATACCACAATCACCTCTTTGGCCTGTGGGGGGCCCTCTGCTTTGGATTGTACTAGATTAAGAATGAGCCCTACCTGTTCTTTATTCTCCTTTTTCTAAGCTCTTTGCAGATTCCATCCTTGAAACATTCTTCTTTCAACAATATCATAATAAATGGCAAAGTTACAGCTTCATGGTCAACTCTATCCGCACAGACTATAACTTTTAACATTAATGCCATAGACCAGGTCATAAGTGTAGGGGCCACTCTATAACTGATTATATTGTCCCTTGCCATCTAGCTACAGATGATTGTTTAGCATGTTATTTCGAAGGATGGCTGATTACACCACTTTTCATCATTTCATTTCTCTCCAATCTTGCTGTCATCTCCTAGAGACTGGGCATAGAAGAAATCTTGAAGGATAGACACTAGTGGTTTTCAAACTTTTCAGAAGTAACAGAATTGTTTCTTCCTACCGAAAAAATATCCCTCAATATATATAAGAGATAAAGGATCTGTGTTGGTTAGAGTAGGGGCTTCCTTGCCACACACCTACTTCTTTATGGCCATCCCAGTAAACAGTCATGCGTCACAGAATGATGTATGGGTCAACGGTGGACCGCATATACAGCAGCGGTCCCATAAGATTCGTACCATGTAGCCTAGGTGTGCAGTAGGCTATACCATCTAGGTTTGTGTGAGTGCACTCTATGATGTTCGCACAATGACAAAGTCACCTAATGACGCATTTTTCAGAATGTGTCCCTATCATTAAGCGACGCAAGACTACACTGTGGAAGAGTTTGAAAAACCACCATCTTAAAATTGAGGAAACGGAACCAGAGAAGTGAACTGACTTGGAGATAGCAGGAGCTGGCAGAGCTGGTCCATCACACTCCATGAAACATGGGGTGAAGAGAAAAGTAGGTAAGAAACTCAAATGACTTCTTTTATGGTAAGGAAGTTACCAGTATAAACACATTGAGGTTATCTGTGTCCTAGATAAGAGGAATCTTGTGTATCAATATAAACACACTCAGATTATTTGTGTACAGCTCTGGAGAAATAGAATATTTTTGAAGGAAATATTTAGACTTTTTCAGATATGTGAGACATCCCAAGAGACCATCAGAAGTATAAACTAGGTTTACGAAGGAAAAAGATTGCGGCCAGATCAAGCTTACTAGACCTAAGGATCTTGTAACTAACTCCGGTATTATGTCCATAACTGGGCCCCTAATTTCAAATTTAGTCTACTCTTCTTTCTGTACAAGTAGAAGTTTTATGCCCCACTACATGAGTCACAGCAATAATCCTACGCAGGAGTTTGCAGAATCCTAGATTTTCACTATTAAACCAAATAACCTCAGGATGCTTTCCAGAATCTTAATCCCATGAATTAACTATGCTCCAGAGCAGGGCACTTGTGGAAAGACTATCAATTACATTTAGAGCTAATGAAAACATGGAAAAAGAATAAAAGATCCAGCATAATCTACCACGGTAATCCTATTTTATTCACTAAAATCTCACTCAGACTATTACGGAATAAAGGAAAGAGCAGCGAAGCTGGAAAGACCCAGGTAAATCAACTGAGCTCTCTAAATGTTTCCTCATTAAAAAAATGAAAGTGTTGGACTTGGTAATCTATAGGTGTTCACTCCAAACTTCACAACGAGGGACTTTTCGAATTTGAAATAATGCTGATCCTCTTCATTCTGGGGTATCCAATCCCAACTTTCTCCTCCCCACCTTCTTATAGGAGGAAATGAGAAGGAGAAAAAAGAAAAGAACGACATCGGAGCTTGGGCCGGCCTCCACTCAGCCCATGTCAAGCAAGCCTAAAAGCCCCACGCGTCCGAGGCCACGCTCCTGGGAAGGCAGCGCATCGCGATATGATCCTACCGCCCGCCCTCGGAGTCAAACGGCTCCCCGCACAAACAGTTTAGAATCCTGCCTGCTCTTGACGCCACCGCCGAGGGAGAATCCACAAGCCGCTGTGGTCACTTGCCCTTCTGTGTTCACAAACGTCCAGGGCACAAGTTCTTCAGTCTAACCGAATCCTTCCCTGCTGCAGGGTTAAGCGCCATCCTTCTTCCTGACCTTGGGGAGCCGGCAGCTCCCAGCCCTGTCCCCTCACAGACGCCCTAGGGGCTCCCTCTCGAAGATCAGACATTCCTCCCATCCCCCCACCCTCCTAAATTTAGGACAGGGACGCTGTAGGGCCACCGTCTCCCTTCCGGGACCGACCAGACTTCATTCCAAATAGGGAAACATAGAGGGAAAAAAGACGGGGTGGGGGGAGACCGGGACCCTGGAGGGTCACTCCTCCAGCACCCTCGGGGACCAGGTACCCGGTCACTCGCGCATCCCTCTCCCCTCCTCCCCCGGACCGCAGAGCACCCAGATGGAGACCCGCAGGGCCCACGCTTGTTCGCACCCCGCTTCGCGCGTCCCCTCGGCTCCATCCCCCAAGACAGAGCATCGGAGCGGGGCAGGAGAGGAAAGGGGTCCCCGCGGTCTCACCTGGGGCGGAGGCGCTCGCTCATGGCAGCCGGTGGAGAAGAACGACGCAGCGCCGCTCCGCGAGAAGAGGGAACAGAGGGTGTTGTGTTTCGGCGGCCGCCACGCCCACCCCCTCGGGCCTTAGCTCTCGCCGCGGCTCTGGTGGACGCTGCCGGCGGTGAGTACCCCTCGGTGGGACCCGTACCACCGCTACTTCCGGCGTCTGCTCCGCGCCCCCCCATGTCACAGGCGCCGTGGTACCGCCCTCTCGCGGCTGCGCAGTGGCGCGACCCCGGCCGCGCCGACCGGTAACCCCGCCCACGGGAAGAGGCGGGCGCGGAGAGGGAGGAGCCACTAGGAGCTTCTGGGACAGAGGACCTCCTTAGAGGTGGCCCCAGTTTTCGCCTGTTCGCAGCCAAGCGGGGATAGGGTAAAAGTCAAGTCAGCTTTAAATTAAATTAAATTAAGACATAATAATATGATACGAGTATTTGAGTGAAACCCCTGTGAGGTAACAGTTTTTTAAAAAATGGCCGAGAAGCATCAGGCAGTTGTGCAGACGGCCTGCCGCGGGTCCCGGCGCTGGGAGTTGGGAAGCTGCGCGTGGGCTGCGCTGGGGGGCTTGGCGCGGGGGCTTCCTGGAGTCCTCTGTCTTGCGAGGTGAGGTCGCCGCTCCGGGGGCGTCTGATGGGCCTTGCTGTTTCCTACAGCCCACGCCTTAGGTCTGGGGGCGACAGTCCTGAGGCGAGAGGGCAGTCGATCGAGGGGTGGGCCAGGTGGGGGGCTTCCGGGAGCCGCAGAAGGAGCCCCCTTCGGGGTCCCGGCGGCGCCGGTGCCTCGGGCTGGGGTTGCGGGGAAGGCGGCCCGGACTCTGGGGCTGCCCGGCGGGCCCCGCCCACTCCGCTGGAGGACGCGCGAAGCGCTCAGAAAAAGTCCAGGAGCCAGGAGGAGGGCAGGCCAGGTGCTGCGGCCGGGGGCGGAGACGGGGGCGGGCGCACAACCGATCGGCCCCCTGCCCGGCGGCTCGTGAAGCCGTAACTCTCCGCTCTCCGGAACCCGCCCTGCTGATAACCCAGTTATTTGCAGTTGACAGTACTGTGCCACGTTCATTCACTGCGTGTGCTGTCTACTTACTTCTCTGGTTGTGTCTTCCAGAGGCTGACGTTAGAATTGAGTTTCCTTTTGCCAAGCTCGGAATGGCGATCGTGAAGCGTGGAGATCCGGGAGAAACCACCGCGGAATTAGCATCCTCCTAGAGAAGCTCGGGTAAGAAAGCAGTTAGGCACCGATGTTAAGACGTTGTTATGTGAGGGTACAGATTCCAGTACGATTTCTAGGAGGATGAACTGTGAGGATGGAGTACTGTAGAGGCAGACACGTCTAACAGAGATCTGGAGCCCCTTCTAGAGTTACCCGCATAAGCCCATGGACTGGCTTGAGTGTGTGTATTTTTGTAAATAAACGGGCCATAACTTTCATTATGTTATCAAAGGGGTACCTCCAAAATAAGAATCATTACTGTAAAGCCTGTTGGCAGAAAACAGTTTTGTTTTGCCTGACTTCGTGTAGGATAAGGTGAGTTGGTTGCTTTGATAGATTGGTCGGGATTATATGTTTCTGTTTTGTAAGTGGTTTCAAGGTCTCACCTTTTGACCTATTTAGTGGTCAGAAAATATTCGCAGTCACAGTACTTTATAATGACACATGTCCAGAGAAAGCATTCATTCGTCCATATCACATGCCAGGCTCAGGCTAGGTGTTGAGAATACAGCTGTGTACAGGTTAGACATGTTCCCTGCCCTTTGGAACTTTATGGAATGAATCAAAAATGTGAAAAAAAAAAAAAGGAAATAATTTTCAACTGGGCTTTGGAATTAAATAGTTCTTATTCCTGAGTCGAGAAAATAACAAAGAGGTACAAATGAAATGGTATAAATTTTTTTTAAATGTTTTTAGGTGGTATAAATTTCACAAAAGATGTCGAACTAAACAAACTTGCCAATAATTCATTGTACTACAAACTATAAGTAAAAAATTGGGGAGCATGTCCCCTCCATGTATATATTATTTGTACATTATACATACTTTTATATATGTGTATGTACATATCTGCAGTCATGCACCACATAATGATGTCCCGGTCAATGACAGACTGCATGTATGGTGGTGGTCCCACTCGATTAGTACCATGTAGCCTAGGTGTGTAGTAAGCTATACCATCTAGGTTTGTGTAAGTACACTCTATGATGGTCGCACATCGACAGAAATGCCTAATGACGCATTTCTCAGAACGTGTCCTCGTCATTAAGTAACGCTTGACTATGTATGTTACTCGTATTAAAAGTAGAGCTTCATTTCTGGTACTTAGATAATGGCCGTTCTAATGTTTTTTCCTTGCATCCGAACAGATGTTCCATATGTCACTTTGGAAACCACTACTCTAATCAACAACTTTCGAATCCTGGCCTGAGTTTTTTATTCTTCACCATTCCTCCCTTGAATGATGTGTTTAAGGGTTTTTTGTTGGTTTTAAGATTTTACTTATTTATTTATTCTTCCTTCTTCTCCCCAAAGCCCCCCAGTTCATAGTTGTATATTTTAGTTGTGGGTTCTTCTAGTTGGGACATGTAAGATGCCACCTCAGCATGGCTTGATGAGCGGTGCTAGGTCCGCACCCAAGATCCAAACCGCCAAAACCCTGTGCCTCTGAAGCAGAGCACTCGAACTTAACCACTCTGCCATGGGGCCGGCCCCTATGTTTAAGGGTTTTTAACAATTTCTTTATACTCATGGGATATCCACTTGATTTGCTACAATCTTAAATAGAAAACATTTGATTCTGCCTGGTGTCTTGGACATCTTTTCCTTCCGCTAATTAATTCATTAGACTTAACTCTTTTGGTCTTGCTCACCTCCTACTTAGGGATGTTGAGAAACCTCTTTGATTGTGTTTTGTAATGATTGATTCCTAGAAGACTAAGAAATCTAAAATGCCAAGCAGAAATGGAGCCAGGAATAGTTATCTAAAAATCAAACTGTGTCTTCTATTTTCTGCCTCCATAAGAAAAAGAATGGATCAAAACAAATTTTTAAAAATTTCCTTCAACCTAAATTCTTCCAAATGAATTTAAAAAGTACGACACAAATAAAATATTGGTATTTACTCTACAAACTGTTTGCTCCTAATAATCTCACGTTTATCTTTTTCAGGAATAGAAGAGTGATATTCCACCCAGAATGGAAGTGTGTCCGTATTGTAAAAGGCCATTTAAGCGATTAAAATCCCACTTGCCACACTGTAAGATGATAGGATCACCTGTACCTGCTGATCAGAAAGTTTGTCAGTCTACACCAGCTACACTCCCACGTGCTAAAAAAGCGAAAGGGGCAACCAAAGAAGCTAAAGAGAGGGCATTAGGGACAGAGAGTGAGAGAAGAAATCCTAAGTTGAAAAAGGACGCACCAGAACGGACAGTTAAGTCCTTTCCACTACTAGCTATTGGTTTGCAAACAGCCAGTAATGCAAAGACAGACAAAGACATCAAGAATCAAAGTCAGCTTTCCCTCAAAATGTTAGAAAATACTGAACCAAAAATTACTTTCGAGGGAGAAACTAAGGCTCAGTTTTTTGCATCAGAAAACACCACTCCTGAGAAAGAACTTGAGAAAGATTTGCCTAAATCAGGGAAAAGTAGAAGTACTCCTTCAGAAACTGAAGCATCTTTACCTCAAGGCCCACTGTTCCCTTCTTCAGCAAATCAAGGTAGAAAATACTCTTCACCCTTACGTAATGACATACAGACCACTTCTGCTAATTTAAGATTGGACAGAATTGATCCCCCAAGACAGAAGCTTCTAGCAAAATTACTAGATATGCCTTCTGATGATTATCATAATTCTCCCATGAATCTCAAGTATGGGGTTAAAAGAGTAAGAACATCGTTGTCAAGCAATGAGAGAGATTCCAAGGCCAGGGGTCACTTCGCAGACGTCTCTAGTAATGTTAGAGACTCTGAGTCTCAGGAAAAGAACCCAGAATCGCAGGTTTTACGTTTTAAAGTTAGCCCATTAGGTAAAATTCAAGTCAGGGAGAATGAGGAAAGAGGACTTAAGCTCGAAGTAGAAGCATGTGGGAACAAAGGAAATGCAGAAAAAAGTGTATCTGTGACAGAAATGACTTCCGTGAGCGATGACTCTAAGACGGACTTCAGTACTGATGATTCAGCCACAGAGAAGAAATCTCAAGGTGAAGATTCCAATTTAAATTTATTCATGCCAAGGGAGACAGCTTGCAATGACTTACTTTCTGTATCACAGTCATGTAATCAAAGTCTTACCTCTCTGGCTCTAAAGTTTCTTCAAGAAGAGAAAGCAGAAGCCTGTCATCATAATCGAGTCCCTGATGTGAAGGCATTGATGGAGAGTGGGGACCAGCCTCTGCAGCCCGAACCTGGCCGTCGCCCCCAAGCCTTACACCCCGGTTGCCAGCAGTCTTTACATTCAACCCAGCATCACGCTTCTAAAAGCCCCTTCACCAGTCAGATCACGGTCGTCGCTGACAGGAAGAGTCTTCCTAGCTCCCTGGGGCTGGAGTGGTTTCCAGAGCTCTATCCTGGTTATCTTGGCCTAGGGGTGTTCCCGGGGCAGCCTCGGTATTGGAATGCAATGGCCCAGAAGCCCCAGCTCCTCAGTCCCCAGGGGGAAAGACTCTCACAAGGTAAACATGTTCATTTCCAAGGGCCATCCAGCCCATCCAAACAGTTCTGTCTTTTGAATTAATAAGGTTCAGAATACTAATATTTTTGTTCATTTAGCTTATTATGCCTAGGTATGCATTCCAGTGCACTGGAGTTAGAATTGTTCTGAAAACATTACTTTTTGCTCCAGGGGTCAGTAACAGTGGTTGATCACTCTCCCTTCTCCTCCATCAAGAGTTGAAGGCTGCACTAGGACAGGCTGGCGGGTGATTTTGATGACAGTGGAATTTCTACATTGGGAAGAGGCATGGCCGGCTGGTAGAAATTGGGTGGGTATTCAAGCTGAACAGACTCAGGAAAAGTGTGAAGACGTAGTGGTCCGCCTAAATAGAACCAGCACTGTGTTCAGATTTCAGTCAGGCCCAGGTTGTACATGAAATAGTTCCAGGTTTATGGTTAAATGCAACGTTGAGGAATTTTGGGTAGCCAGGGTACAAGCAGACGCTGTTTTTGGATTTAGGGGCAGGATGGGATTAAAACTGTCCAAGGAGGCCTGGCAGTCAAGGCAGACAGGTGAAGGTGGAGGTTCAGGAGATGAGGACCAGGAACAGAGAGGGTGGCAAAGAAGGTCTCGCAGTCTACGCCCGGGGAAAATTAGTCCACAGAGAATAGGACCCAAGAATGGAAGCAGAGATTGAGCCTCAGAACATGAGAGATTAGGTTTGAAGGACGGGGGGAGGGGACTGGGCGTGGAAACTGATCCGGACTGTGAATCAGTCTCTTCAGAAACTTGTCGATGCTCCTCGCTGTTGCCGAGAAGAGGTTGACCGGTGGCTAGGAAGTTCCCGATGGTCGTTTGAGGCACCCTCACTTTCTTCTGCTGACTTCCTCCTTTAGTTACTGGACTATCTCTTTAGCCATGACACATAAATTTTCTTCATTTTCCTCCCCAGGAAATTTGAATTTTTCTTCTTTTTTTTAGGTTCTCTAGGGGCATCGTTAGTTTAATGAGGCATCCATCTCTTGTGTGTATGTAGTGTTCACTGACTCTTTTAGGTTTATTTTGACAGGAGACCTATGGCAACTCATGACAGGTTTGTACCTGAAAAACTTGTATAATCTCTTCCTGAAGGGATGTATTTTTTCCCTCTGTTAGATTTGTAAACACTCACCAAACTCCAATTTGTCTGGTCTCAAAGCATTTTCTTTTGTGTTTTAATTATCCTTCTCCAGTGGTTTCAAAGAAAATGTATTAAGGCAAGAGCATTGCTAGGTAAAGGTACATTTTCTTCAGCTGCCTCAGTAGTTGCCAGTTTTTCTACCAGTAGGTCTAACGTCTAGGCTGTCTTTACAAAGTTCTAGTCCCCAGGTCAGAGTTGTAGCGTTGAGCCCCTTCTCCATATGAAACAATTAATATGAGCCTTCGTCTTGCTCTGTAGCGTTCAGAGTGCTTCCGTCTGTTTTCTTATTTTGGCCTCACCACGCTGAGAGGTGGGCAGGTGATCTTCTCTCTGTCCTGCAGATGACGAAACAGGCCCAGAGAGAATAAGTGATTTCCGAGGTTGTGTTGCCAAGAAATGGGAGAGTTGCAAGTGGAACCTGGTCTCCTGGGACCTAGTCTCATCCTTCCCACTAAACCATGTTGTAGAAAATACGCCATAACTAGAAGCATGCGTGTGTGTTAGATCTCTCTAGTTCTCTGTGTTTTCAGTTGCACAGACACCCACAGCCCACAGCAAATCCCTCTAGCAAGTAGAAGGTCTGTATTTTCTGTGCTGTCTTTTATAGTGGCAGGGAGTGTTCTCGATACCTCCACTTTCAATTTTAGGGAGGGAACTAATGTTTATCAAGTGATGAGGTTTCAGTCACTGTACTAGGTACTCACGTTATCCTTTCATTTAACCCTCAGAACAACTCTGAGGTGATGCTACTGTCCTGCCCTTTTTATAGGTGAAGAATCTGAACTTCACACATCTTAAGTGACTTGCCCATGTTCATGCAGTAAGTGGCAGTCAGGATTCAAATCCATGTCCGTCTGACTTATACATCTGTGGTCTTTAAGCTCTGCCTCAGGCCTACTCTTTGGGGCAGTCAGTGATCGAGGTCATGGTTGATTTAAGTTATTAGGTGACACACTTTAATGGATCCCAAGAATACAGTAATAATAAGGTACGGGATACAGTAATTTATGCCGTTAAATCAGTAGGCTTGTGAGATTGAATATGGAAGAAAAATACCGTCTTTCCTTCAATAAGTTCCTCGAGAATAGTGGTTAGAAACGGTTTTGTTCTCTTTTATTGGTTACGGTCTATAATATGTGATTAGTTTGGATTTCTACATCAGACAATAATGTGGCTATCAGAGGGCCTCTAGTTCTGTTAAAATCTCAAAAACAATAGGGGCCAGCCCCGTGGCATAGTGGTTAAGTTCGCGTGCTCTGCTTTGGTGGCCTGGGGTTTGCAAGTTCGGATCCTGGGCATGGACCTACACCCAACTTATCAAGCTCAAACAGAATGAGGAAGATTGGCAACAGGTGTTAGCTGAGGGCCACTCTTGCCCAAATCGAGTTATCAGTTGATGGTTGACATCTAACGTTGCCTGATGGTCTTTGCCGGGCTTTTCCAGGCACTGTTCCTTCCGTAGGACTTTCAGACTTCAAGATGATGTCAGATATGCTTTTCTGTGTAGAGAAACCTGTGACAGCAGCCAGTCCTCATACATCAGGGTAGCCTGAGTAAACTTCCATGAAGTGATTCCACCCGATGGAAAGGTACCCAGGGCCTTGAGAGGCATCAAAGACTATCTTGTCATTTTGATGAAACAAAGTAGAACCAAAAGCTCTGGTGCCTGAGGAGAAATGGATAGATTTTGGGTTGCCTAGGCTGGGAATCCCAAGGCAGACTGATAGCTCTGAGGACAGCACTGAGTCACAGCAAATCAGGATTAAGAGAATTCTGCTTATGGAATCAGCAGCACTAGGAGCTGTCTTTTGAGCTTCAGGGAGAAAGATTTTCATGGACTTACTACCAAAAGGAGGAGTTTTCCTGGCCTTAGAGAAAATAGGTTTTAGAAGTTCAAGATTTAAATCTCGAGCCTCAAGTACAATTGTCTGCGAGTCCTCAGCCATAGAAAATGGTTCACATTGTTCAAAGGAGAGCGTGCAGCTGGGAGCACGTGGCTGAGCCTTTGTGGAATTCAGGGCCTTGTCTTTGAGGATTCAAAGTTGATGAGCTCGAGGTCCAGGGTTCCAAGTCTGGACAATCAGCAGTTTCACGTGGGCATTTTTTTAGGTTAAAGATTCCTAGGTATCATCCTTGGGTTAATTCTGAAGAAAGGTCTAAGAATCGTATTTTCAAACGTTTTCTAAGTGTTTCTGAAGAGCAGCCAAGTTTGAGAACTGTTGCTAAAGGTGCTGGCGACGGAGCAGGTGCCTCAGACCCAGCAGGGAATGTTCCCAAACCTGGTGGCAGAGAGGAAGGGCCGTTTGAAACTAACGTGATTCAAATTACCACAGAAAGCAAAACCTGGCTGAGGAGGCTACCAGGAGGTAAAATGAGGAAACCTTACGGGGTGATGGGTTTTTAAAGGCCAAGAAACAGCTAACTACAGGCTGTTCTCTAGCCTTCAGACAGGATTTCCATCAGTCTGGTATCCATGTGAGATGTTCGAGATGGGGCCTACGTGGGGAAGGGGCTCAGAATAGTCAGGATCAGAACATGAGCAGGGATGTGACAAGCCGGGATTGGGTCCTGCATCAGCCAGAGGAGTCCATGAAAGGGAGTGTTCTGGAAAAGAGCATGTGAGTAATCAGCAGCCAGAGACGTCAGGCGTAAGTGAGATCCTACGTCTGGGATTCTGACGGCCAGACGGCTGATAGGACGTGTGAGAGGCAGAGAGGGCGGATGAGGGTGTTCAGTGTTTGTCTCAGAGTGGGGCATTGTCACTGGGCGTGAAATGTGAGGGTGTCCACACGGGCAGGTGAAGGAGAGTGTCTAGGAGATGAGGCGGTAGAGGCATGGCAGCGGGTGATGGCAGTCCCAGGCCCACAGCCAGGCCGTAAGGGATGTCGTTCAGAACCCAGAGCACCTGGGCATCAGACCAGAAGCATTGAGAAAACTCTAACAGGACTTGTGTGGCTTCTGAGCTGCCCTCCTGGGCCTTGGGTACCTGTATATCCCAGCTCGGGGCTGAACTGATGTCATTCACGTAAGCTGACCAAACCTGTAGTGAAGGAAATAGGCTCACCTGGCTGGAGAAAGAGCCGAGCCAAGAGCCACACCGTTGCTGACGCTGCAGAGAAAGTGGTTGTCCACTTGCAGTTTTCGTGACATCGGTTCTCCCCATCTTTTGCTTTAGATTTTTTCCAAGATGAATGGGTTATGTCATGCTTTGTTTTTTAAGAGACTGATGTTCACCTTGAAGAGAATTATCTTCTGTGTAATTTCTTAGAATCCAGCCTGGTTCTTTCATTGTTACTTAATATAATGATGATAGTTTGGATAGTATTTTTACATTCACAGCAACTTTACCACACCTGCTAAACCTGTCATAAGTATTTGCTTAATTTAGCCCTTATCCTGATGGACCAAGCCAAGACCAGACAACCAGCAAAGTAGAGATTTCCTGCCTCTCATTAAACAGAAACACAAGTGCAGGAACAATGTGAATAAATAGCATAAACGCTCCTTTCTGGTTCTACGTTAGTTATTCCTGGATTGAGCCTAAGAAATGTTTGCTGGTCAGTTGTCGCGATGGGGTAATAGACATGTTGACTGTAGATACAGTGACAAGTAGCAGTAGTTAACACGATCGTTGTAGAATGTCATGCTTTCTTGCTAGAATGTTTAGCAGATGATAGAAAATACGAGCGATTCGTTTCATTAAGCGTGTGCACGTGGACCATCAGGGTAATCTGTTCATCAGGTCAGAAAGGTATCTAGGTCCTGATCCCCGGGGCTCCCTCGGCCTTTGGAAGAACCTTTTTTGACCTGGAGTAGATTGCCTTGACTTCAGCACTCAGAGTTCTCTGCAGCCCAGTACAGACATTAATCCGCCCATTTAGAATGTGCTTTTCCTGTTGCCTGGCCCTGGGAACCTCGGGCACTGAGAATTAGGCAAGGGGATGAATTTAGATGAATTATCACAGTGACTTCTGTTTGGAACCGTAGTTCCTTTGTTGGAAAGAAGTTCGACGGCTGTAAGGAGTTTGGAACCCCCGACCCGGATTACAACCTCCAACTTCTCTCTAATGAGGCTTTTGGGAGCTGTACAGAAAGGTGAGGCTGGAGTCGTTGACTGCTGGGTTCTGTTGCTGGTTCCAAGCCTTTGGAGTTTCTTAGCCATGACCGTTAGAGCAAGGCTAGAGAAAAGAGAAAGGGACAAGTCTGTAGTCTTCCTACTCTGTTTTCCTTCTAGAGTCTGACATAATGGAAAGCGCCAAAGCTAACACAGTAGCAGCTGCCATTTATTGCACAGCTTTCACTTTTTAATACTCCCCCTACATCTCTCCCTGTCCCGCATTGGTGGTCCCAGAGCCAGGAAGACTAAACCTCAGGTCAACCAATTGTATACATCTTACTGCTGAGGATTTTAACCAAACTCCCCCAAACAAGAGTAACTAATTTAAGTTTATTAAAATTAAGGTCTGGTGGATTTTAGCCTTTTCATCTGTTTAAAAAAAATATGTATATAGCGGTTTGTCAACTCTCTGAATCACAATTCCATTGCCCCAGCTGAGAGACCTTGAATAACCCACAGGTATAATGGCCCCTGGGTACATTTCACTGTGACGGTTAGACGTGTCTCTTTTTAAACAGGCTGGATCAGGTGCAGCGCCACCGTGAAGAGTGGAGTTGGCGGCATCACGATGCTCTTCACAGGCTGCTTCGTCCTTTGTTGTAGCTGGAGTTTCAGGCATCTGAGTAAGCCTTTCTGTGTTTTTAGCCTAAAGTACAGTCACATCCCATTATAGGGACCTTGGGATTCTCCCAAGTCCTTTTTCCTGTTCCCGCAGTATGACTGCCCTGGTGAATGAGGTCTTGCCTGAGGCTCTGGGGTTATTTATTAGAGGTTTTGGTTACAATGGTCTTCATAAGATTGGATTAGGATTTACATAATTGCTCTTGCGCTCCATTTGATGTTGTCCCTGGAGATCTGGTGGTCTGTGTTTCTCCTTGAAGCTATTTGCCTGCTGGAAGACACGCTCTCTCCTTGGTGGCTCTTTAACTCCACCCTAAGAACTTTTTAGAACTGAAAACAAACAGCTTTATACCTCAAAAGAGAGAAGGAGAAACAGAATACAGCTGTCCCTCATCGGTGTGTCTGGGGCTTATTGCTGTCTGGGTTAATCTGCTTTTATCTTTTAAAAAACAAACACCCTTTTAGGTATGAGTTTCAGTTTGCACCAGATCTTACCAGAAGGAAAGTGGCTGAATTTCATTTCTCTTTTAAAGATAATTTCTGCTCATTTTTTTAAGTATTGTTTTATAAAAATAATATCCTTATAGTTAAAAAATTTTAAAGACATTTATAAGAAAATACTTTAAAAGCCCAGGGGCCTGGCCCCATGGCCAAGTGGTTAAGTTCACACGCTCCACTTCAGTGGCCCAGGGTTTTGCTGGTTCAGATCTTGGGCGTGGACATGGCACCGCTCATCAGGCCGTGCTGAGGCGGCGTCCCACATGCCACAACTACAGGCACTCACAACTAGAATGTACAACTGTATACTGGGGGCGGCTTTGGGGAGAAGAAAAAAATAAAGCCCAGTATTTTTCCACAGTTTAACCAAGAAAAAGCCCAGATGCTTTCAGATGAAAACTTCTGGGGTAAAAGAATAAGATAACTATCAACGCTAAAGGCCAGTAGAATTGACAGGCTTGTAAATCAGCAGGGTTGGACTCTAACTGGATTTGTTGGCTAATCGAGTGCCTCAAAAGGAAGCAGGTCGAGCCGCAGGAGTGGGCCTGCCGCAGACCACTGCCTCCTGCCTGGTGGGCACAGCCGCTACTCTTGCCTTCTCCACCTGCCTTTGGGGGGAACACCTAAAACCTCCCGGCGTTCCTTCACAGGAAAAGGTCTGCCCATACCGCTTTACTGCCTGAAAGGGATACCTGAGGTGGTTTTTCACGTCTGTGCATTGAGACTGAAGAGAGTGAAGCAGAAACTTCTCGTTGTGCCTAAGACTTTATTTCTAAATTTATAAAACAAAAAGACGGCACTGTAGAGGCAAGAGGTAGAAACAGTCGAGAGAAGTGGCCTGCCAGACCCTTACACCTCTCTCTGTTTATCCAAAGAGCTGCAGCGCTGGCGTAAGTAACGTTGGCCTGGACACCACTCACGAAAGCTTTGGAACTCCAAGGAGAGTACGGTGGAGACAACTGCAGCCCACATTTAACCATTTAAATTGTCTTGGGGGCAGGGAGAGGGAGGGAAAAGAATAAAATTACTGGAATCTAAAACAATTATCTAGGAAGTAAATTGTTTTAACGTAGACAGATCTGGTTCTTCTGGATGTTTCTTTGGCTTGTTCTCAAAAGTGACTGAAGGTTACTGAAAAAACTTCGGTTTGTTTAGTCAGAAAGGCTGATGTTACTCAAGGAGACATGAAGATGACAACATTTATCGTTAAAATTTTTAAATAACTGTCTCCTAATTCTCAGTAAAAACTAATGTCTCAATTTAAAATTTTTCTCCCTAAAATTGTTCTTAAACCTTGGCATTTTACTGGTCATCTATGCTAGACCCTGGGCTCCATGTACTGGTATAGAATAGTATTTGAATTGGCAGAAAGTCCGCATACAGCAGGCCCTTCCCCTTGGGAATGGTCGGGCTCTTTTGGGTCCTTGACCCCCCACCGATGTCATCTTTCGCAGTTCCCCGGTCCTCGAGCAGGGCCCAGCAGACTCCGAAGGCCCGCAGGCCCAATCCAGCCACTGCCTGTTTTCCTCCATAAAGTCTTACTGTGTTCCAGTAAAGTCCAGTTTATTTGGTTCGGTGTCGTCTGTGGCTGCTTTCACACGACAGTGGCAGGTTTGAGTGGCTGCCACAGAAACCATATGGCCTGCAAAGCTGAAAATACTGTCTGGCCCTGTACAGAAAAAGTGTGCCACCTCCTGCCCTAGAGGAATATGGCAGCTCACGTTCTCCATGTGTTGGAGCAATGAACAAGATGGGATCGCTGCTTTAAGATATTTTTGGGCTAGGAAACGCATTTAAGTAGGTGAAGACTTTCTCAGTGCCCTGGTGTTGCCCCTGAAGCACCCATAACACGTAAGTGCAGCGGTAGCACCAGGGGCAGCTTGTAGCCCCCTCCAAGATTTTCATCATTACCATTTTTATCAGTACTGTAAACAAACTAGTGTCACTTATCAAATCAGAATAAGACGATGAAGTTGTTTAATTATATCAAAATAAGTATTTTATATCTCTGAAAATAAGTTCCCTAATGAGAAGAATGAACAGTGTAGTGATCCGTCAGTTCTAAAGGGATATGAGCTTCATATTGCCAAGTTTAAGACAAAGGCGGAATCCTACGTTGATCAGAGAGGATTTTTAGGTTGACATTGGTCAGTACCAAGAATTCTGACTCACATGTAGTAGGAAAGAGCAAAAAGAGTCTTAACTGATTTCTTTGAGTTAGATACTGAGCATCAATTCTTCGATAAAATGATGTAGGTGACTTTCAAGAAGCCATCAGAAGTCTCTGCAGATGCTGGAGTTATTTGGTAATGTCCACAAAGCAACTGAGGGACAGGGTTCCCTGGCTGCTCCTTGCTGCCTTCTGGGGTGACAAAATACTCGGAGACCTTTGCTCAAGTCCTTACAGATATCTTTATAATGTCCAAAGGTAAGTTATAACTAATTGATTCTTTTCCTAGATTCAGATAGAAACAAACTCAGCATGACCGAGGAATGTACCTCATAGTTCCAGTTTGCAAGATTGATTGTCAGCTTGCCTTGTGAGGATATGCTTATTGTTCGTATATGCCAGTACTACGGATAAGTTCATTTGCACAGCTAGCCCCAGTTGTGTATATGGTCTAGCAGATTGGAGACTTCATCCAGAAACACTGGAGATTCTTCTCAAAACTGGAACCGTAGAGAGGTGAGACTGCTGTATCTGCCGAAGCCCGTGGGCTTCAGATGGCAGGAGGAGCTGCTCTTGTCTTCACAAAGCCGAGTGCAAAAGAAGTCAAGAATGCCCTTAACGTGATTGGCGCACTTTAAGCAGCCGCCTCCGTCTCTGCGTCCCCGTGGCATTGGCAGGAGCTTTCCTAGGTGAGCAGCAGTGCTTAGATTTTGCTTCCAGGGCAGCACCGTGAATTCCTCATCAAGTCTTCCGGCAAGGTGCCTAGAAATTCAGCCTGAGAATCCGTATAGGCAGTCCACATCCACCTCCCCATCCGTCCTCCAGAGGAGTTCCGGCCATACCCAGGCGCCGCCGTCCTTGAGAAGACTCCGTGGGGTTCTGGTACTGAAGGTTGGAGACGTTCGCAGGCAGGCCTGGACGCCCTGGCTGTAACTCCCGTGGTCTGTAGGGTGGACTAGCCCTGGTGCCACCTACCTGAGTAATATCTGAAATACTTAGTTTACTGGGGAAAGTACATTTTTTCTCATACACATTAAAATATCTAGCTATTAAAAATAAAATGATTTCGTTGTATTATCAATGGGCTGTTTTACACTTGGGAAACCCTATCTCCTGCCACTGTTCTTATCAGTCCTGTTTTTGTGATTTACAGTTGATCCTAATTCCTCTCAATACCTGCCCCTCCATGTTCCTTCTCCGTATTACTACCACCACTCGCAATAACCAAGATATTTTTTGAAAATAAAAAAGGTGCCTCTGTTCTGGTCGTTTGCCTCTCCCAGGCCGTCACTGGTGGAATGGTGGGTGTTGGGTTGAACACGTTATCTAATTTATGGAGCTTCTGTGGTCTGGACTGTAAAGTGGGGACGATTACACCTACTTTGCAGGGATTTGGTGAGATCAGGAGTCTTGCATCTATTACTTCGAGCAGGATCTGACACACCCGGGCCGGCCTGGTGGCGCAGGGGTTAGTGCGCATGTTCTGCTTCAGCAGCCCGGGCTTCGCCAGTTTGGATCCCAGCGCAGACATGGCACTGCTTGGCAAGCCATGCTGTGGCAGGCGTCCCACATATAAAGTAGAGGAAGATGGGCACAGATGTTAGCTCAGGGCCAGTCTTCCTCAGCAAAAAGAGGAGGATTGGTGGCAGATGTTAGTTCAGGGCTAATCCTCCTCCAAAAAAAAAAAAAATCTGACACACCGTAGGAATTAAATAGTAACAGCTCTTTTGAAAGCTCTTGTGGCATCATACTAGGCTCAGATTCTAAGCTTGAACCAAGCAAGAGAGGGCCCACAAGCCACACTGAAATCCAGCCACCATTTTGGTGTGTCCAGTGTTCCAAGTGCTGTGCAGAGTTCCTTACGCGCATTCTCTCAGTTTATCCTTCCAGCCACTCAGGTGCTGTTTCCCCCCCTCATCTTCCAGAATGAGGAAACTGAGGCTTGCGGAGCTTAAGTAATGTGTGTACATAGCCATGTGGCATTTTGTCACATACATCTCAGAGTGGAGCTGGCATTCAGACCCCCGAAATCTCTCCTGGGCCGGTGTTCTTTTACTGCCGTACCTCCATCCCCAGGCAGGTCAGGCAGCTGTCTCCATCTGCCCAAGGTAGGGCCCATCTCACTGCATGCTTTTATTGTTGATCTTTTCTCCATTTCTCCAAGAGCCTCAGCTTTGCCTCCCTGCTCCTCTCCCAGAGGATTAAATTGCATTGGTGTTTGACGGAGACAATGGCATAGATAGTGTAGCATTAAGCATTGCGTCTCACCTCCTCACCTCCCCAGGATAAGCCTTGTTTGTACCATTCGTGTCCCATAATTCCTCACATAGGCATGCACAGAATATAGTCTTGAGTTTAAGGAAGCCATGCAGGGAAGCAGCTGTCCTAAAGAAACCACTGGATTTCGTTGCCAGCTTACAGCAGCAGTCGAGGCCATGCGCACAGGAACTGCTGCGTGCAGCCCCAGACTCAGCACCGGGGCTGAGCCAGGTATACTGACTGTTTCCCATACACTCGAGCTTCTGGTTTTTACATACATTGCTCCCGTTTTATGGGTAACTTGTCCTGCCACAGTCAGTCCGCCTCCTATGCTGTTGTACTTTTCGTAGCTCATTCACTTACAAGATAAGAGCAAATAAACCTAAATGCAGCAGGCTGCTTCTGCACCTCATCTCCTGCTTAGTCTGACAGTGGGCTCCCTGCAACGCTGGGAACCGAAGCCCACAGGATGGCCATTGGGTGTCTTCTCCAAAAGGTCTTCAAGATCCCCAGACAGACCAGGCCTTATTTTTGGATAACTCCTACCAGTAAGTTGAGTCTTACTGCACCGATCGGCATAATGGCCCATTTTTCAACAGTAAAAGAGAAAAAGTTAATGTTGCGAATTTGTAAATTCAAATCCCAAGACGAATATCCTAAATTGTCCAGGGAACCATAGGAGATAGCTGGCTTTCTGAGGAATGTGACGGATTCTGCTCATAAATGAAGCTGCATTTCAGGCCTGAAAGAGACCGTGAGCTTCTAGCCCAGCATCACTACCCCAGAGAACAGGATGCTCGGGCCAGTCGATCAAATGTACGAGAAGGGCGGGCCTCTGCTCCCTTGCCCTCATCCTGACAAGACTAACCTCTTCAGAATAGAAGTCACAGCTCGGGACAGTTAGAGGTTATCTCATGAAGATGTGAGGAAACATCATGTTTTTCTAACTGATAAGCCAGAAGATAGCCCAAAAAAAGACAACCTAGGTGCACATTCCCTTCCTTGCCAAACTCTGCCCCCGACACCTTAAGGACGTGTATAAATCACTCAGAATTGGTAGGCAGCAGAATCAGAAATGAAAGAGATTTAACTTACTAGTTTTTAAAGAAATAAACAGTCCTGTCTGGCAAGAGACACATCAGATGAGGTGGTTGAGCCTCTCCAGTGGTAAAGTTTGGTCCACCAGTGTCGTCTCCCCCCCTGCCCCCCACATTCACACTCCTTAACCCTGCACGGTTTTCTTAGCTGTGGCAGAAAAGGAGTGACACGTTCTGCAGCTGAGCCCTCCCTCCTGAACAGCGCTAACCAGGCAGTCAGCTCTTTGACTCACCCTGTAGCCCGGGCCCTGCTCTAGCGCCCTGAGCCCAGGCGCTCCTGGGGCCTCATCTGCGGCTGGAGACACAGGCGTTCCATCGGAAGAGGGGGCCTCCAAGGTCCCCAGGCAGCTGCAGAAGGTGCTGAGCCCCGTGGCCAGTTGATGAGCTGCAGATAAAGGAAGTCATGAAGAGACATGGACCACAGACATTCCTTCTGTGCAGACCTGGTGTCTTTACCCTGAGGGCAGGAGCTCTGGCCACGTGTTCAGGCTGAAACCAGGTTTTGAAATGCCTTTGTTTACAGTTTTAATTGCCAAAATCATACCTTTTGATGAAAGTTAGAAATGGGTGTGTGAATTCCCAATAGTCCTTGAAGATTGCTTCCTTGTATCAAAGGTCCCACTCAGAACCAGCAGGGGTCGCCCTCCTGCCGCACCATAGCCATCCCAGCTTAGTGCCGGGCTTCCCTCGTCCTGATTGACTGGATGTAGGACCACTAATTAACAAGAACTCAGAAGCTGCCCCCAGGGTTTGGGCTCCTCCTTTGGCCTCTGCCAGACTAGCATTCGGTCATCCAGACCAGGAGGCAGCAACCCTTTTCTGTAGAGGACCCAACAGTAAACATTTTCGGCTTTGCAAGACAGCTGGTCTCTACTGCAACTGCTCAACTCTGCCATCATAAGCCTGAGAACAGCTAGAAACAATATGGAAATGATGAGCTTGGCCCTGTTCCAGTAAAACCATTGATGAGCACTGAATTATCATCTCACATGTCACAAAATATTCTTTTGGGGTTTTCCCCCCCAATCTTTTAAAACATTCTTAGCTCCCCAGCTGTACAAAAAGAGGCAACGGGCCAGATTTGGCCCACAGGCCATAGGTTGGGGGCCCCTGATGCAGGCTCTCATCGGGGCTTGGTATTGGTAGGAATAGTATCTGTTCCCATAGGGACAGGCACAACAGGATGGCCCTGATTCAGGACGGCAACTTCGGACCACAAGTCCTGAGCTGGGCTCCATGTTCTTTAACAAAAACCAGCACGTGTTATCCAGCTAAGAAGGAGAGCCCCAGGGGCTGGGCTGAGAAGCCCTACGTGAAGCAGAGATTATAGAGGTTAGAGGGGGTCTGGGAGGACCAACCACCATAGGGGCCACACACAAAAGATGGTGTGTGCCTTTCCCAGGGGCAGTACTCAGAGCAGATCGTGCGAGAGTGAGGGCGGCTGGGAATGGTGCAGTGCCAGGTGTCAGAGTTCCCCAGGGAACAGTGTGCACAAAGGGAGGGAGACACACCTTATCCTTCCTGCCTGGACTCACCTTCATGTAACTTGGGTTGAATAAAAGATTCATCTTGGGACTGAAGGAAGTACAGAGAGAGAGAGAGACAATTACAGCCTGGCTCTAACTCATTAACATGCTCGGCACCAGCCTGCTGCAGATTTCCTGTTTCAGAGCCCCGGAGGGAAGAGCCGCATCCTAGCCAGGGAGTGAGGGAGATTTGCAAGGATGCGGGGGTCGGGAGGGTGGTGCTAAATGTTTCTGCTCTCATCTCTCGAACAGTTCATGAAGAGCTACATGCCCACCCCCAGCATGAACGTACATTAGCAGCGTGGGTGAGTTCAGTGCAGCCGACAGCACCAAGGAGGGGTGGGTGCGGCGGGGCAAGGCTAGGAAAACTTGGTGGGCGGACGCTTGCCAGACACTTCACTTCTCACCTTGGGCCAGTGAAGGTACGGAAGGATCTAGATTTAGCAGCCTGAGAGTGGGCCTAGCACTTGGTGGGATCATACTTACTGTGCAAATTGGCACTTGGGTCCCTCGGGGCAGAAGCCAGCTAAGTAGTTAATACACAGCGTCCTGCGGACATGGCGGTATTTACACAGGGGCCCTGTTGCGCAAAGAGAAAATGGCCAGGAGGCTCTGCTTTAGCAAGGGGGAAAAGGCATGTGACAGCGCTCACCAGGCAGGGCGTGGACAGTCACAGGCTCTCCACTTAACAGTATAAACCTTCCTGTCCTTTCCAGACTGCCCCAAAGCACCTACTTCCTAGCCCCGTGGCTGAGATGGGAAAGGGAACCTCGGAATGTGTCAGAGCAGGTGTCAGCTGGCCGGTCCTATCATAGGAGGGTCAGAAGTGTCCCTAACACACTGTCTTAGAGGACTTAGATGCAGGTGGACTGTAATTTGCCACCTTTTCTTTATTTAAGCTTTAGAAGGTACAGCTGAAGAAAGTCCACCCCCACATCTTACTAATCCTCCTTCAGTTCCCCTCTCCTCTGATGCCCCCTAAACCAGCACTGCCAAGAACTCAGTAAGAACACACCTGGAGACACAGGAAAAGAAAGGGCATGTGTGCTCAGGACGCAGGGACTCTGCTAGGGGCCCTCCTCCTAAGCGAGGCTGTAACCGGGTAGGTGGGACACGCTTAAGTGACACTCAGGACACCCCCCGGTAGGTAAAAGGAATAGAGACGAGAATGTCTGTGAACTGAGTGTGCCCTGTGGGCCAGACCCTATGCCCAGGGTGGAGTCATGCATCCGACTGGCACAACAGCCCTATGAGGGAGGCGTTTCCCCTTTTGAGAGGTGAGGAAACAAGCAGTATAGTCATTCGTTCAAGGTCGTGCAGCTGATACATTCTGAAGCCCCTGGGATTTGAACCCAAGTCAGCCTGCTCCCGGAAGCCCATCCTGCCCTACACGAGGCTGTGTGTCATAGTGTCACAGGGGGTTTTTCCACTGGGGGAGCCTCAGGAGAGCTATGGAAAGGCCTTCTGTGGGGATTTCAGCCCTGGGGGCAGACCCCACAGGGCGTCACCAGGAATCTGCATCCCTTGCCTGACGGGAGCACCCCACCCTGATCACCCACATTCCCCAGTGCCCCCTTTCTGTCAGGGCCTCACCGTCCTTGCAGAAACCTTGGTCGTACCAAGGACAGTCCCGGGTCTTGAAAGCTGGCTTCACGTGGAGAAAGGGACATTCCTTGTTGTTGCAATCACCTGAAAATTCCAGGGTTCTTTGTACATGAGTGAGCTCATCTTTATGGTCACTTCTGCCCTTCCCAAACAAGATTGACCTTGCCTTTGGCATCTAAGCCGCTTGCCTTCCTCTGGCCGCAGCAGCTTTTTAAGACAGCAGGCTATTTCTACTCTTTCCTGCAGTCTAAGAAGGGTGGATCCCAGTCATACTTGCTAAGCAGAGCTTGGGCATGAAGATCCATATCTGGGGGAGTTGGGGCAGGGCCAGACATCCAGAGGAGGAACTGGAGCTGAAGGCTTGTAGAGGCCATTGGGGGAGGGAACCAGGGGAGACCAGAGCTAGCAGCTAAAGACCCAGGAAGACGGAAGACACTGCGTGCAGACGCAGCCCTGCGCTGTGCATAAAGCCCTCTCCACCTCTGCAAGGAGGCCCATGCTGCTCCCAGAGCCTCGGGCATGGTTCTTTCCAGTGGAAATGCCAAGAAGAGCAGTGTGCTGCTCCAGAGTTGGCACAGGGATCAAGAGAGACGCTGCACAGAGGGACGCCTGCCGTTTCACTAAGCCTGTGCTGTAGTTTGTCTAGAGATGAGACAAGACCCCTGTCTCCTAGAAGGAGTGGGCCTGTTTGCATCGATGACACAGGGGTCGGCTTAAGAGCTCTCAGATTTTTCTTCAGGACCCAGTGGCTCTGAAGGACCCATGTGGGAAGACTCGGACTACTTTTCACCTCGTTCCAGTAGAGAATTGTGAGTGTTTCCAATCTCATCATCCTTGAAAGTCTATAACTTAGTGCTTTTCAGAGCCTAAAGGAGCTCCATGGTGTCTACTCCGCGGGTTTAAAACTGCTCCAAAGAACTGTTTTATGCACTGGGCTTCGGCAAAGTGAAGACGAGTACCACTGATGCCTAGGAGTCGTAAGCCGCCGTTCTTTCCCAACCCTCTCATTTCACAAACGAGGACCCCAGTGCTCAGAGAGGAGAGGTCACATCTGCTTTCACCGGCTTCCTCACACGGATGAGGGGTTTACTTGCTCACGGTCAGAGTGCAGCACTAGGTAGAGAGCTCACTCTGGGCCTGAACCGTCTAAGGAATGGCAGTGACATCCCCCCAGGACTGGTGAACGTTTGATGGGTGGAGACGATGGGAAGTCATCTCCGCAACGTGTTGCTTTCTGCCCTGGATGCATGTCGCTGCCTTCGTCTCACGGCCAGCAGGTGGCACCCGCACCTCACCCTCCAGTCTGCCTTCCAGAGCCACCCAGTGTACCTTTTTGATGAGCACATCCAGGAACAGGGCCAGAGACCCTGGGCTTCCAGGCCCCTTCAACTGCCCTTCCCACTCCCACCTCTTCCCAACAAGACTTTTTAAAATAAAACAATTTACTTCCAATAAGAGCAATAATTACTTTGATATTATATTAGAGATGTCCATTCATTTACTCCAAGAGCAAAAACCTAGGTCACATGTATTACAATCATTCATGGAAACGTCTGCCCCTCACAATGGGAGCTACTTGAGGGCAGAAGGGGACCTGGTCCTCTTCCTAGTTCCATGCCCAGCACGGTCCCCAGTCCCCAAAAGAAAACCAACCAAGGTTTATTGAAGGAATAAGTAAGTGGCACTTTAAAATGAAAGAGGTTTAGGTGATGACCAAGGGGAGCCGGGTTCTAGAAAAACTTTGCCCTTTCTTTCAAGGAACACATGTGGGCAGCCTTCACGGATTGCCACGGCCAGTCCTCACCCCGAGGAGCAGGCAGGGAACAGAATGTAGGCCTGGAAGGAGCTCTTGCTGATCTAGGGGGAGCTTAGTCTTCTTCCCACATGCCCACAACCACCCCCCATCACACTAATGAGGAGCAGCTGCTTGCAGCTCGCCCCCCCCAAAGCTGGCTCAGTTTCCTAGCCAAGCCTGCTCAGTCAGAGGCTTCCCTGGAGACTGTCCCAGCTCTCTCCCTCCAGGTCACTCTTTTTGGAACACAGTTTGAAAACCACTGGACTGGATAATCCTTAGGCTCCTTCCAGCTCTGAAAAGCACTGAGCTGTAAAATTTTATTGAGAAGGATGAGATCTGAAACACATTCACAGAGTCCATTCTGAAATGAGGTGGGCACAGGTGGGGCTTCCCTCCATGTAGCCCCTTGGATGACAAAAGAAGGACTTGAGGCCAGAGGGAGGGAAGATTCTGGTCCAGACCTGACCACACAAGATAATTTTAGAGGCTATGCTCTGCACCTCATGAGTGTATGTTTACCGTTACCTTTTATTGCCAATAAGTGATGCTAGAGCTTTCCATTTGTGGAAGCAATGTAAAGTTTTCTTCTAAAATAGAAAGATGGTTGAAAGAGTAGACGGTGGGACAGGTGAGTGGTCCGGGTGCTCTGTGGGGATGGGAAGCATCGTGAAAACGGCTCCCAAAGGCCTGCTATTTGGGAAACGCTGGCCTGGACCCCGCCCCCCCAGTCCCAGGACTGACAGATGGCCCTCAGAGACATTTCGGACAGTCAGTCTGGGAGCATGACTAGCCAGGACTGGGGAGGGCAACAATTCAGGCTTTGATTCCAGCCCCACCCTCTCCTTCCCTTGGGGGTGGGCGGTGTGTGCCTGAGCCTGGTGGGGCGGGGAAACAGGCATCAGAGGACAGTTCCACTTTTCCTAGGGGGTTGGAGAAGCTGGCATCCGAGGCTCAGACAGGCCTGGTCTGCCCCCTGGGACCTGCAAGCCCTCCTCTGGGTGCCCCTCCCAAACCTTCTTCCCATCTCATGGCCCCCACGGCCACCCCCGGGGTGAGAGGCCAGAGCCAGGAAGGGGCGTTACCAAACTTGGAGAAGAAGTAGCACTCAGGCATCCTGGTGGCATCATACTGGTGCAGGAACTTGCACTGGTCGCCCTTCTTGCACAGCCCCCGGAGCCAGTGCTTACACACCACCATCTTATCCCCTCGGTCATGCCGGAACGGGCAGAGCTTCCCTGGGGACACCAGAGCACCCAGCTGGGAGGCCCCCAACTCATCCACAGCCTGGGCCCAGCTCACCCCTGGAAGGAGCTGGGGTGCTGGGTCTCAGCCCCAATGCCCTCCCTTTACCTAGACCCTGGTAGAAGCCGGAACTGGGGGCCAGCGGCAGCACGGAGGACATGGACATGCTATCGTCTTAACAGACGGCTGTTCCTACTGCCACATGTCTGCCCAACTTTCCTCTCTGCCTGGCCTGCCCTTGTCCTTCTCAAACCCCAGGCAGCCCCTGGCTGTTGGGAGAGCTCCCACAGTGCCTGACACGCCCTCTCCAGGCTTACCGTGGAGCTCCCCCAGACAGCGAGGGTGGTTTCCAGCCCTGGACCCCCACCCAGCACAGTCCCTGGCACACAGTAGCTGCTCATTAAGGGCCTGTTGAATTCATGTCTTAAAAACACAAACATTATGCTTCCTGATTCCAGAAGCCCAGCATGGTGACATCAGAGCCCACTTCGTAACAATTTAGAAGGAAATGGAAATGTTATATTGACCTCTTTATTGTCTTCATTGACGCGGTGTTGCCATCAGCAGGAAGGACACCCCAGGCCCTGAGTTTCTAAGCAGGACCGTCCTCATGCTCGGCCAACTCTCTGATAGAATTTGAGGGGGGCTGGGAAGGTGTTCTTTTTAAATAGCCCTCCCCTCACCCCTGGCCATTGACTTGCTCGAGTCTGACCTTCCACAAGAAGAGTTTTATTTCTTTGCAAAAGGTGTCACTGTGAGCCACTGCTCTCGGGACTGAACGGGCCGAGCGGAGGAGACAGGACCCCAGCAGGCGTCACAGTCCAGGCTGCACAAAGCCTCCAGTGGTCACTGGGCTCCTTTCCCTTCTCACCCCATCGCCCAGGGCTGTCCCAAAGACAGACGAGGCACACAGCAAAAACGGCTCCGGGTCCTCCATGCCTAGGCCCCGCCTGGCCTCCCACCTTCCCAAGAACAGAATCACTTAGATCCCAAAAGCTGGTCCTAAACTCATTCCTACTAGCAGGGCTTCTGAACGTGGATCTATAGGAGGACTGGGAACCCCCAAATTGCAGGCAAGCCTTTTTGGGCACCTGCGTAGTCCTACAGGAAAAGCCTGTGAGCGGTTCATGAGCCAAAAGAAAAGTTGAACCCCTGTATTTGGGTGAGGCCTCCCCAAGAGTAGCTACATATGAGCAGAGGGGCTTGGAAGGGGGTATTGCCCGATCCAAGTCGGGGCAGGGGAGAAATAGAGGATGTTTGTTGGCAACATTTTAGGGACTGTGGCTAGAGCTACCTTAGGACATAAGGAGTGGACAGAACAGCTGACCACGTCCCACACTGAGTCAGAGGACAAGCGTGGGGGGAGGATGGCACTTTCCTGGCTGGGAGGAAAATAGGAGAAAATGAAGAAGTCTGGAGTCTTCTGGGAACACATAGGCTGAAAGCCGCGAAGCTCCCACCCCCAACAGGGTGGCAAGAAGGAATGCTCCTTCCGGCAGCCCCGACCACCCTAATCAATGCTGCCAAGTCAGGGGACGCCTTCCGGATGGACCCACCCGCATGCCCTTGCCTACTTATAACACTAAAATTCTGCCCCATCCCAACTTCCCCTCCCCAGGTGCAAAGGCTACAGCCGATTCCAGGCCAAGCTAAACCCAGTGTGACCTAGACAGCCCTGCTCCCTCCCCACCTCAGCCCACCTGCTGACCCACCTTTCTCACAGAGCCCTTTAGCGAAGAAATTGCATACGGCTGAGCTCGACTCTGGAAGGGGAAGAAGGGAGATAGAAGGTAGCTTTCCCCGAGGCTGCAGCTGCTGGAGGGCCTTCACCCCCATAAGCAAGTGCCCCCCTGAAGCTCCCCAAGGCTTGGGGCTGGGGCCCCCAAGTCCTGGCCCTTTGGATGCTGGTCTCCAGAGCCAGGCTCCAGATCTCAACACCTAAGCCCCCTAACTCTGAAACAGAGGCCAGGGAGGGGCCCAAGGCCAGTCTAGGAGCCCAGGAGGCCAGTGTGGTCTTTCCTGGCTTCTCTCAGTTCACCATCTATGTGTCTGTGCTTTCCCAGTCTGGGAAATGGGCTGCACAGAAGCTAGCCCCATTTTCCTGGAGTCCTGGAGAGGATGTAAGAGGGGAGGCCTGAGGCCCTGAGAAGAGAGGGGCAAAGCTGGGAATCCCCGACAGTGGGCCCAAGTCCCCTGCCCAGGCTCCCTGGTGAGCAGCCGGGAGAAGGGGCCACCCCCTCGGGCAACTGAGCAGACAGGCCTGCAGAGAAGGCTGGGGGAGCGGGGGAGGGATGGCGTGGGGTCCCTGAGAGGGACAGCTGTCCTCACTCACTGTCCATGCCCTGGAAAGGCAGGAGTCCGGTGCCCTTTTGCATCTCTACATCCTTCTCGAAGGTGAAGGTGAACCGCCCCAGCCCTGCAATGACCTCTTGCATCTTCCATCTCCTGCTGGGGCTGCTAAAAGCTGCGCAAGCCCCTCCAGGTGGACCCTATATAGCTCGTGAGAGTTCCTTAAGGGGCCAGGGTCTGCTGCAGACCGCTTCACCCCCAGATGCCGGTGGCCAGGTGGCTGCCAGGCTCCTCTCTAGGCACAGTTGTCTCACCCCTCCACTAGGTGCAGGTGCACACGCCTCAGGGCCGCACACCCCCACACTCTGTGGTAAGTCCCACTCCCAGTGCCCGCTGCTGGGGACGGATTAGCAAAGACCCACACACTGCTTATCTCTGCGTGTTCCCAGACACACAGAGCATATGCACAGACGTTCCCAGACCTGTGCTCATACTTTCACCATGAAGACACAGCCACAGGTTAGCTGTGAGGCGCAGGGCACAGACCAACCGCATGGCCCCTGTTCTGATTCGCAGAAGCTCCGGGCAAGAGGGCGTGGGGGCGGGGACGGGGGCAGGGTGCAGACCTGCCTGCCCCCATCCCCCCAATCGAGTCCCAGCCAACCCCTCCCTCTGGGACTCCTGACACCCCTTTTCTGGACTGAGTGACAAGCCCTGAGTGAGCTCTTCATGGGAGAGAGGGGAAAAGGCATGAAATCCAGAGGAATCGGAAATCGCTGGATGAATAGCGCTTTGTGTACCGCGCACACAAGCTGGGCTGGGGGCGGGACCAGCCAGGGGCCGTGGCCTCCCAGCCAGGATTCCACGGGCCACCCAGCGCCTCCCACCCCTGAGAAAGTGCTTTGTAAACGAAATCTCTATGCAAATATTGTTTTATTATGATTACACCACCCCTGCCCTGCCCCCAGGGCTGGGGACATCTGAAAGTACTTTCAAAGGAGCGTTTTAGGGCTCTAACTAGAGCAGCTTTGCCCATCCCCCTGCTCTGGCCCCGAAGTGGCCTTCCTTCCAACTGGAGCTGAGTCGCCCTGGAGTTGATGCCGGCGAAACCCAAACGCCATCCTTCCCAGATGAGCAGCGAGAGGCGGCAGCGCCCCGCAGGCCCGCAGCCCAGCCAACAAGAGCGAGCCTGCTAGCTTTGTTTCCCCCGCCTGTCGCTCCCAGATTTGTTGTTCTTTTGAACTCCGGATCAGAAAAGAAAATAGCTGGAGAGATAGACACCTGGAGCCCAGGCCAGGCTGGGAGGGGCAAGGAAGGGATTCAAGAGTTTCCAGAAGCTTGGGCCTCTCTCCAGGGACATTCTTAGGAAGGCAGAGGGGTAAGCTGGGGGCTGTGCGAGGCGGGGTGAAGGGGTCTCTTGGGTAGACGCCCTTGCTTCTCTTGGCCCTATTCACATGCATTGATTAGTGGTCCCCAGAACACGTTCGTCTGTCAACACAGGCTCATTTAAGGCACATTCCAGCCTGGCAGAGAAGGCAGATGAGGAAATCGAGGCTCAGAGAGGCCAAGGGCACACAGTTGGGAAGTTGTTAATGATGGAATTTAAACCTAGGTCTCTGATGATTTCCTCCCGTAAATATCCACAGAGCATCTCTGTACTGGGGACTCGGGCCCTGGAACAAAGGACTGTGTTCCTGCCCTCAGGGATGGCGAGGTCAAATGGGAGAGACAGACGTTCAACAACACGGTTATACAACAGGGTGATAATGGTAGGGGGAAGCAGGGAGGGCTCTCAAAGGAGAGTCTGGTGATGATGCAGGGAGAATGTTCCAGAAGAGGGGCCAGCAGTCTGAAAGCACAGAGCCATGAAGCAGCATGGCAGGTGGAGGGGACAGTCAAGGGTTTGGCTTGGCAGAAGCATGGTGTTAGAGAAGGGGAGAGCTGAGTGACAAGAGTGAGAAGTAAGCAGGACCTGAGCCGGGAGTGTCCTCTAAGGGCTTGGTTTTTGTCATGAAGCCAGTGGAGAGCCCCGGAAGGGCCAGGAGAGCAACACACAGCACCCTGGAGAATGGATTGTGGGGGAAAGACGGGGCAGGAGGCCACTTAGGGGCTGATCAAAAATAATAACTAGAGGGGCTGGCCCCGTGGCCGAGTGGTTAGGTTCGCGCGCTCCACTGCAGGCGGCCCAGTGTTTCGTTGGTTCGAATCCTGGGCGCGGACATGGCACTACTCGTCAAACCACGCTGAGGCAGCATCCCACATGCCACAACTAGAAGGACCCACAACGGAGAATATACAACTATGTACTGGGGGCTTTGGGGAGAAAAAGGAAAAAAATAAAATCTTAAAAAATAATAATAATAATAACTAGAGCACTGGGGATATAGGCAGAGGTGCCTCCCAGTGCTCTGGGGGCCTGAAAGAGGTCAGGGCTGAGGGCTGAGGGCTGAGCATGAAGGAGGCTCCGGCAGAGACCCCTCCCTCCATCCACCCCCAGCTTCTCCGCTCCTCTTCTGGTCCAGGTCCCACCTCCCACCTGGACTCCCCATCCCACCTCTGTGTGCCTGGCCCACAGGTGTGGGGAGGATGTCATATGGATGTATCCCCCTCTCCCAGTGCTTCATTCATGTGGCGTAAGAATGACAGCACCTTGAATTCACGGTTTCTGCTTCTCCAAAATACCTTCTGGTGTGGGCGGTATTGTCTCCCCAAGAAGAGTCTAAGTCCTAACCCTCGTGCACTGACCTTATTTGGAAATTGGGTCTTTGCAGGTGTAATTAAGCTAAGGATCTCAAGGTGAGATCATCCTGGAATTAGGCTGAGTCCTAAACTCAACGCCTGGTGTCCTTAGAGGAGAGAAGAGAGGAGGATTTGAGACACATGGATACAGAGAAGAAGGCACGTGAAGACAAAGGAGGGGACGAGTTAGACAGCCACCGTGGAGCGCCCAGGAAGGCCACCACCACCAGAAGCCAGGAGAGAGGCATGGGACAGCTTCTTCCTCAGAGGCTGCAGAAGGAACCAACCTCACTGACACCTTGATCTTGGACTTCCGGCCTCCAGACTGTGAGGGAGTAAATTTCTGCTGTTGTAAGCCACGACCTTTGTGGTTGGTTGTTACAGCGGCTCAGGAAACTGACACATCTTCCCGATTGGAAACTGAGCCTCTGAGACCCTTTTACAGATGAGCAGCTAGAAACAGAGGAGCTGGGTGGCTGCCGAGGTCCTGCTGCTAATTAGCGTCAGCACTGGGGGTGGGATCTGGGTCTCCCACCTCACAGGCCCTTTCCCTGTCCTCTGTCTCACTCAGACCAGGGGGAGCTGCCCCCCTCCACCCCGTTTCTCCTACCACCTCATGGCTCCCAAGTGGCCCAACACGCGCAGTGTGCAAAGTGAAGAGCAAGCCCCAAGGGGAGAAGCCCTGGCAATGCCCTGGTGGAGGGGCTGGGGCTGGGGATCCCAGCGCTGGGACGGCCCCGCTGGAACCTCACAATTCTCTCCTCTGTACCCTGGAGCTTATCCTGAACACTTGTGTATTCATTTATCAATTAATTTGTGGCTGCAAAGTGGACGCGCAAATCACTAAACAAACAGTGGCGTTAATTTTTAATCACCATCATTATGAGGCCCTCATTTAACTTGGCTGCAGATTTCCTGAATCATCAGCACCCTGCCCTCTTCCCTTTATAAACGCGTTGTTCTGGCATGCAGGGGTGCAGGGAGCTCTAGAATTCTCTGCTACCGGGAACTGGCAGAGGTCGCCGTCATCCCCACCCCACCCTCCGCCTCGGCTCCGCCGCAGTCAGTGCTTTTCTGGGCAGGGTGTGGCCACGCCCTCCTCCCTGGTGTCTCTGCATCTGCATTTCTCCCCACTTGGGCACCCGGAGTTCATGGAAAGGGTGCAGACTGTGGCATCGGGCAGGCCAGGGTTCAGATCCTGGCTCTGCTGGTCCCCAGCCCATAATCCTGGGCCAGTCATTCAGTCCCATCCCTCAGCCCCAGATTCTGCATTGGTAAAATGGGACCCAGAGGGTGACCTCCTGGGAGCTGACGAAAAGTGAAAAGTACACGTGGATCCCTGACACGGGGGAAGAGTTTTATTAGAGTCATCCTTCCCAGGAGGAGGGTCCCATGAGGCACTAGGAATGGGTGTGGCCTGGTGCTCAAGGCCCCAGATGTCTTGCCCGCAGGTCCACAAAGGCACTCTTTCTTCAAGTTTATTATTCCTGCGGCTGGCCCTGTGGCACAGCAGTTAAGTTCGCACCTTCCACTTCGTGACCACCTTCCACTTTGCGACCTGGGGTTCACCAGTTCAGATCCCAGATACAGCCCTACGCATCACTTGTCAAGCCATGCTGTGGCAGGCGTCCCACATAGAAAGTAGAGGAAGATGGGCACAGATGTTAGCTCAGGGCCAGTCTTCCTCAGCAAAAAGAGGAACATTGGCGGCAGATGTTAGCTCAGGGCTGATCTTCCTCAAGAAAAACCAACCAAAAAAAAACAAGTTTATTATTCCCAGGGGCCCCTGGTACAAGGTGCTGGGGCGCAGGGGCCTCCTGCTGCTCAGGTGCTGTTGGAGAGCTGCTCCAGGTCCAGTAGGGATGGGCCCGGGGGCTAGATAGCCATGGTGTTGGGAGGGGATGGGAGTCAGGAGGAGCCCCCAGTGACCCACAGCTGCTGCTGCTCAGCCCCAGGGACGATGCGACAGTGTGCCCTGCCCTCCCCGTTGCTCTTTGTGGCCCAGAGATCCCACTTGGTGGGGACAGCTGTTGGCTCACAATTGCCACTTGAAGTGCACGGCAGGGAGGTCCAGCAGCCAGGGTGGTCCTGTTCTGTCTTTGCCTGGGAGCTTGGTCTCTGGAGTCCAGTGGTTCTGGGAAAGGCATCTCTCTCCCCTGGGGGCTGGGGCACAGTAACAGGACGAATGACTCACCCAATATTTCTTATGAGGGCCTCCTCCGGTCCTCACTGCAGCCATTCTAGTAGGTTCTACCCATTTTACAGATAAAGAAACGAAGGCCCAGAGGGGTAAAGTGACTGCCTAAGCTTACACAGCCAGCAGATATCAGAATGGGGACCTAGAATCCCAACCTTTGCCACCAGATACTAGGACTTAATGAGTTGAAGTTCACTGTGGACGCTCTAATTCCTACAAAACCTTTCAAAGAGAGCCATATTGTTTCTCTTCTACAGTTGAGAAAACGGAAGCTCAAAGGCTTAGATGAGCTTCCCAAAGACCACAAGCTCAGGCTGCATGACCCCAAAGCCAGGCTCCTTCCAGCCTACCAAGCTGCAGAGTGGGAAAGGCCCCCCCGTTGGGAAGACACCTGAGACCCCCAAGGCCCAAGAGCGTGGGCTTATGAGTGGCCATGTGGATTGTGTTTTTGGTCCGAGGGTCAAGGAGACAAGACGTCTGGGCTCGGGGAGTCACCCTTGGCCCAGGGGGGTCTCAATGGCTTTTCTCCTGCACTGTTGTTGCCACCCTGTGTCTCGGTCTCATGTCGCCCTCCCTCTTCTCTGCTTCTGTGCCTAGAGCCCCTCCAG